GTTTTTGAAAATATTACCCAGAATGCACTAGATTCTGAAACGGCGAATTTAATTATTGCCATTTAGCAGTCAATACCCTAGAAATCTGTATAATAGTTTTTTTGCATAATTTAGTTGTTCGTTTATGTCATTAATTAAACCAATTATCAACTGACGACGGAATTAAAGTAAATTCCAAAGATATGTATTGTAAGGAAACTTAATTAAAAAATAATGGACTAAGAACTATGAAAACTTCACGTACCGTTTTCGATTTTACAACTAAACTGCTTTGTCTATTGTGGACAGTTCTATTTAGAACTTCTTCATTTATAATTTTTGTTGAAATCCAACAAAGTTTAATTTTGGACCCTTTTAATGTGGACAATTTGTAGACGTGCCCAAAAATTGAAAATCTTAATATATGATTAGATTCGGCATATCAAAGAACCCCAATAATTCAATTTTTGATGAAACCAAACAAAGTATAATTTTAGACCCTTTGAACCTCAATGTGGACCAATTTAAAAACGGGGCCAACAATACAAAATGTGCATACATAGTTAGATTCAGCATATTAAAGAATCCCAAGAATTCAAGATATTGAATTAGTTAATCCTCATTTTAATATGTCAAGAAATAAGCAATTTATACAAAGTATTACAAAGTATTGTTATAAGCCGCTTTTTCTAAAAGGTTAGGACCACAAATCAATCCCAACCTTTCTATTTTGGTATTGAACCTTGTGGTACAATGTCATAGAGATCCATACACTTATACACAAGATATTGTCCTGAAACAAGCAAAATGCTTGATTTTGGCCCCTAATTCCTAAATACGATGATAACCCCCAAAATTAATCCTAACCTTTCTTTTGTGGTATGGAACCTTGTAGTACAATTTTATAGAGATCCATACACTTATACTCAAATAATTGTCTAGAAACCAAATGTTTTCGGACGACGACGACGACGACAACGTCATACCATTATACGATCGCAAATCTACACAAATAAATGATTTTGGCAATTAATGTATTGAATGCTTTTGAGAATTTGTTATTTCATGACTATCAATATTAATTATGTACAGAAAATGTATTATTATTATAAAATGTTCTTTACATGCTTAAGTTATAGATAGTAGATAGATATAAGAAGATGTAGTATGAGTGCCAATGAGACAACTCTCCATCCAAGTCAAAATTTATAAAAGTACACCATTATAGGTCAAAGTACGGTCTTTAACACGGAGCCTTGGCTCACACCGAACAGCAAGCTATAAATGGCCCCAAAAATTACTAGTGTAAAACCATTCAAACGGGAAAATCAACGGTCTAATCTATATATAAAAAACGAGAAACGAGAAACACTATTTACCACATCAACAAACGACAACTACTGAACATCAGATTCCTGACTTAGGACAGGTGCAAACAATTGCAGCGGGTTTAAACGTTTTAATGGTACCAAACCTTCACCCTTATCTAAAACAATAGTGTAACATCACAACATAGAAAGACACACTATAAAATATCAATTGAAATGGCTTAACTCAATCAAAAGACATATTAACACCAGTGAACATACATTTAACAAATAATTTGATTTATGATACAATGTAAATACAAAATAAATAAACTAAGGGAAGAATAATTAAAGTTACATGTTATACCGCTGTAAAATTTTAAACAATTTAAGAAAAACAATATGCTTGAACAAAAATATCAGCCATTTGCAATTACTTTAAACACAGGTAAATGAAAATAATTTTGTTGTTAGGTATACGTGTACAGTTCAAATGGAGAAAGGAAATATTTTTACAAAATAAATAATTTTGATGTTCATAGCACGAAGAAGTGAAAATTTATAGTAATACCAAACACTTATCAAAGCTGGTATATAGACCAGGTATAACCCTGAATAAGTAAACATTTAATAACAAAAAAGCATTACAATTAGTATCAACAGGTCAAAAAAACAAGAAAGTACGATTTGAGAGTACTCGCAGTTAAAATACAATTAATAATAAAAAATAAAGTGCACATTTTAAAGTTTTTCTTGTTTTATAACACACCGAGGGGTGTCGGAATTGTTCAAATGAAAGACCGATTATAGGGAGACCTTTCTTTAGGAAATCCTATCATCCAAAGAAAGGTGTGTTTTATGACAAGAACATTTTTCAAATACTGTCAATTCAAAAATTATTGCGAGGTTTTTGTTATTGCGAATAATGCGACCGGGTGAGTATCGCAATAATAAGAATTCGCATTCTTAATTCGATACATATCTGTATGGAGATTTTCCTGAAATCTCAATAATCAATCTTGCATTTTTTCCCATTTTTCAAAAATCGCAATTATAAATGCAGGCAATAGCTTCTGAATTAACAGTATCCATTATCTGACTGATACTGTTAAAAAGATTTGCAGGAAATTGTATCCCATTTTAACAATTACATCAAAATGGGATACTTTTGTCTTCTGCTTTTTGGAATAACGACGCCCAACAACTCAGTTATCAAGTGAAATAAATCTCCTTAATCTAGATATAAACGTTAGTAATCACTGTCCAGTTGAATCAAAATTTTACAGTAATTGCACGAAGCAAGAAACAAAGCAATTGTTTCGACATTTGAAAAATGCAACCACTTGGTAAGTATTTATTATATCAACTTTATAAAAGACAGTGTCATTTTTTTTTTCTGGTTTCATGACATTTTTAAGATTATATTACAATGTTGACTGCTGTACCCCAATTTTTGAAGTTTTTACCTATTATGTCTGTTTGTTTAGCTCACACATTGTTGTCAATATAATGGAATTCTATGCGACGGTCATACAAGTGAGAGGTTTAGCTGGCTTTAAAACCAGGTTTAATCCACCATTTTCTACATAAGAAAATACCTGTACCAAGTCAGGAATATAACAGTTGTTATCCATTCGTTAGATGTGTTTGAGCTTTTGATTTTGCAATTTTATAAAGGACTTTCCGTTTTGAATTTCCCTTGGAGTTCGGTATTTTTGTTATTTTACTTTAAAACCGAGGAAAAGCCAATTATTTTTTTCAACAATTTAAAAGAAACTCATTAAAAAATAATTGTTTTCGCACTTTTTGCCTGACAATACATTTTTGCTTTAAAATATGAGATCAGTAGAGAATACTACACAATTTTATCTCACATAATGTGTTCTTTATTGAAGCGATAAATCAACAGTACTTCACATTCCTTGTATCGAAAGTTAAATTTGCGTTACAGACGTTTTCTGGTGCTAGTATTTCAATCTAATAAATGGAGAATGGATTGTTTCTGTATAATAGAATAACAAAGGATATGGGGGTATCCATCTATGACACAAAATCAGTACACACACAGCATAAAACACACAAAAAGCAAAGGAACAGCCCTTTTATTGCTGTTCTTCATCTCAAAGTCACAGTGAGGCCTTCAACACGGAGCAAAAAAAAAAAACCCTCACCTCACTGCAACTTTAAGACGGCCCCTAGAACCGGCTTAAGCGGAATTATTTGCAAAAATAATTTTGATAGACTAAACCCGATAAAGAATAGAAAATTGAACAGAAAACCCTCAATTGGCAACAACCATATCAAATGAATGAAATGTTTTAACAAAGTGTAGTTTGTAATCGGGAGTAAATAATGACCTTACACAGGCCATAATGGCATGTCTTGAAGCACATTTCATTGAAAAAAGAATGACCTATCGTTCTGAATTGAAATAACTCCATGTAGGTATATAAAGCCTTGTTATGAAAAGGTTAAATGCATCTTATTTGATAAATATTTTCATCATACTTTATTTCTAGTTGGTGTGTTTGTGCTTCTTATTTTATTTTATTTTTTGCACAACTGATCAGTCCTGAGGTGTCAACAGAAACTTCTCTATTGCTTTAAGAAAAAAAAAACACTATATAACCGGTAGAACCAGCTATATACTAAGTGTTTACCTAGTCATTATTATCATCTAAATGAAAAAAAAACATGTTGTTTGAGTGCAAATGAGACAACGCTCCACCAGAGATCAAAATAACAATGAACAAAACCAATACATCACCGCAACCTATACAAGGTCCCGAAATGACAAATGTAAAACAATACAAACTATGAGAACTGACGATCCTAGTCGATTAGGATTGGAGTCGAACGCACCTGTCACGTGCGGAATTGAAACTCATAAATGAACCTCAATGTTGACAGGCTATTAATACAGTCGCTGGACTACATAAGCCACTGGCTAACCTATGCCACGGACTTGGAAATAAGAAGTTGATATAATGTACATGTATAACTGCTGTAATCGTGCTGTATATTGTCAGTTCTTCAATACAATTCTTTAATCAGAGATCTTAAGTTTCCTTTTCTGTTTTGCTTTCACCATTATTATTCCTTTTTTTCTACATTTTTGGGAAAGAAAAACAATTGTCGAAAAGAGGAATATATATATAGCAACTATACAGCTTGCAATTGTGATCCAGATATTCCATTAAATCATAATGAACTCCGCAAGACTTTCAACAAAATGATTTCAACTTAACCATTTAGAAATACTGGTTTAACAGCTTCCCTATCAAATATATAACATATATCAAGGCAGTCACGATAGGTAATGCAACCCCTTGGATATTGTATCACCTTGGAGAAGACATATGTAGGTTTTGCTGGAATGTTGTTACATAGAAATGGAATTTTTTCAATGTGATATTGCAAACAACTCTGTTTTCATAAAATTTAGTTTTCACCTATATGCTGTGTAGTTGCCATATATATTCCTCTTTCAGACAAAATTTCTTTATTTTCCAATAATAAATGTATAAAAAGAAATAATAATGAAGTAAGCAAAACGAAAAAATCCTTTTGTTCATCAATATGTAGCCAAGATTGACATATTTGTTTTTAAATAAATGTAAAAACCTTTTTAAGCATTTCTCTTGGCAACTAATGAAAATAAGACAACATACATAGAGGTCCTATATCAATGTCTAGATATAAATCAAGAAGACGGAAATTTCAGTATCCTTTATTTCGTTGCAAACTATTGGTTACACTGTTTTAACTAGTGAACTTTTCTTATGATACAGGTACTAAAATCAATAATTTGTTTACGTCAGTAACCACACTGATTAGAAGATATTTCGAAACTACAATCGTATGTCACATTTATATATAACGTATCTGTCACAATGCTAACGTCATTTGAAATATACATGAACATGTATATTATCTTGTTTTCATTAGTTGCCAAGGGGAATGCATAATTAGTTTGTTAAACTTATATAAAAAAAATGTGTTAGTCTTTGCTGCATATTGCGTATGCGACTGTCAAGTGAGATGTTTAGCTAGCTATAAAACCAGGTTTAATCCACCATTTTCTACGTAAGGAAATGCCTGTACTAAGTCAGGGATATGACATGAAGTTGTTTTCAACTCGTTTGATGTGTTTGAGCTTTTAATTTTGCCATTTGATAAGGGACTTTCCGTTTTAAAATTTGGAGGTTGATATTTTTGTTATTTTACTTTTGATAAACAATTAGATAAGTTCTACAGCACTTTCCATATACCAATATTCGAAGTGTTTTTCACAGTCCATAGGATGGACATGATCCCAACCTTATGGTCCTCAACAATCTATGAAGCATTGGAAAAATCTTGTCATGGCAATATAAAACATATATGGGTTAGAGCTCGCAATCTGAACAGTTGTAGATATATTTATATAAGTTATGGTATGAAGACTTGGTTGCATGAGAACAAGAACACGGAGGTGACAAAGTTGTATGAGAACATGAACAAGGAGAGAACAAAGTTGTATGAGAACACGAACACTGAGAGGACAAAGTTGTATGGGGACAAGAACGCGGAGCGCACGAAGTTGTACGAGAACACGAAAAAGGAGAGGACAAAGTTGTATGAGAACACGAACAAGGAGAGGATAAAGTTGTATGGGGACAAGAACAAGGAGAGAACAAAGTTTTATGAGAACACGAACAAGGAGAGGACAAAGTTGTATGAGAACACGAACAAGGAGAGGACAAAGTTGTATGAGAACACGAACAAGGAGAGGACAAAGTTGTATGAGAACACGAACAAGGAGAGGACAAAGTTGTATGAGAATAAGAACATGGAGAGGACAGTCGTATGAGAACAAGAACAATGAGAGGACAAAGTTGTATGAGAACACGAACAAGGAGAGGATAAAGTTGAATGAGAACAAGAACCAGAAGAAGACAATGTTGTACGAGAACAGAGAACAAGAACCAGCAGTAGAAAAAAGAAATACTACTAAAATTATAGGGAGTAAAAAGTGCATCCTTTTTCCATAATGCAATAAATGTTACATTTTGTTTGTTAAAGCTCAATCTGTATGTCAAATCTTTCTTTGGTGTACAAAAGTATTGTTTAAATAACTTTATTTTGTCTGTTTCTATCACAAATGCAAGTAAAATGCAGATATATCACAAAGGCAAGTAAAATGCAGATATATTACAAATGCAAGTAAAATGCAGATATATCACACATGTAAGTAAAATGCCGATATTCATATCACACAAAGATTTAGTGAACAATATAACAAAGATTTCAATCACCTCACATTATGAAAGGTTTTATATAGTGTTGCTAAGTTTTGTAGAAGTTATTGAAAGGAAAGGTAAGTTTCCTAAAGGGAGAGGGTGCAGTAAGGAATTTATTTGGCCAAATTTTTGAATGGTTTTTTAAATGTCATGTATATTTTATACTCGATCATGAATATAATTTAAAAAATCTATACAAGTTTGTAATTTTTAGAAGACAAATTTAATCTATTGTCATCTTTCAAGTTTAATATGAAAAACTTGTTTGATAATGGCAATTGATGAAAAACATTATAGTCTGCACATACTTAACAATTATTTTAGGTATAATTTCATATAATCTTCAATCGATTTGAAGCTAAATACAGCATCTAATGAACATGACCTTCTTCCTTACAAAAAAGCAAACACTCTATACTGTGCATGTTGTGGTAGTAACAAGAAGTGTAGTTTACATTAAATGATAGAACTTTAAACGTTATGTTTTAATTATCTTTTAAATTGATAATTTAGAATTTGAAGAAAGTGTAAAGTGCAGTTACGCAAATAATAAGAAAAAAGCAATCCAACAACACAATAAAATCAAAGTGATTGTAAGCATGGAAGGGTAAAGGTTGCTTTCATTTTGCAATGTGATCTTACAATAAACATTGTATTGTATATGTTGAATTGAGTAATGAGACAATTTAGGCAATATTTTGAATTAGGAGTTATCTTCCATTGTCAATAATTGTAGCTCAATTTTTTTTCTCTTAAAGAGAGATTCAAACACCATGCACAATGTATGAAGTTTCCAATAAAATAGTTTCCTTGATAGGTATATATGGTTATACATATCTTCATCATTTTGTAACATGAATATATAATATCTTCTAAGATATCATTTAGAAATTGCTTGACATGAATAATATCAGAATGTTCACCTCAATCCCTTATGTTGTAAGTGCTCTATCAAGCTATCAAGCCAGTACCAATAGGGTATTCGGTGGCCTTTCGAGCAATCTTTACACAAAATAAAAGAAGAATGTGTCTTAGGATACGAATGCCCCCACTCAAGCTTCAAACAATCCAAAATAGGACAGATGGATTGAAAGATGGAAGGACGGAAAGACGGAGAGTCAAGGGTGACACTTCATGCTCCAGTCGCCTACGACAGGGGTATAAAAAAATAAACATCTTGAAGTCAATTCACATGCTTCAACAATAAACCTTTATCAACAACATATTTCAAGCTTTCAATTGAGTTTTTTTTTCACTGTGTCTATCTAATTTATATCTGAATACGGGGTGTATTATTAAATAGAAAAGTTGTTATTCCAGTGAAACATTTATTTTCAATTCATTCCAGCATGAATGAGGACAGTTTTTCATAGTCTGTTTGAACCTAAAATGCTAAAAATAATAATAATCATAATAATAATGCATTTTCAGATTTTTCCTCCAATATATATTCTATTTAAATTTATTATGCCATCAAGAAAATTTGAAACATAAAATGCAAAACAAATGATAAAATACAGATCTTGAGCTTAACTCATAAATATGTAACACTATAATTAGAACTATAACCAAAAAAATCTATCACTATGTGTAATGGAGAAAAGTTTAGGATAGCAAATGTTGAAAATACTTCATAGTGTGAAATTGTTAAAAAGGAAAGTAATTGTAAAATATCAATTAACATAAAAAAACAAATCTGTAAAAATCAGTTTGTGTTTTCAATGAAAACCCTGATTTATGTAAAAATAAAGTACCTGTATGCATGTACTGTGGTTTCATTTAACTTATTGGATGGAGAAAAATTGAATCTTTATTGATATTCAGTTTTATGGATTTGCCAAACTCTGCATCAAAGCCTTAGAAAATTCATAATCTGAATTTATCCTTTATATTTACAACTTATTTCATGAAAATTGGTAACCAACATTAAATATTGTATCCACAATATATGATTTCTTTATTCATTGGATAATAAAAGCATGTAAAGACAAACATGTAAATGTTGAAAAAGTTAAACAAGAGGCTCCTAAGGGCCTGCATCATTCACCTGTTAAAAATATATCTTGTATTGCTGATTAATTTAAACTATCTATATAGTTTTGGGATTAGACACGATCTTGAAACATTATGACTCCTATAAGAAGTCATTTCATGGTTTTGGTCATTTCGCTTGTTGTAGATCTTGTATTGCTGTTCATTTTTGCTGTTTACAGTTTCTACCTAATTATTGTAGTTTTTGATATCATGGGCAAAAACTTGATAATTAGTAATAAAAATTGTCAATTGAGGGAAAATTACTCCTATAAGAAGTTGTTCTATGGTTTCATTTATTTTAACATATTTGTAGATCATGTTTTGCTGATCATTTCTACTGTTTACAGCTATCATTGATTTATAAGTTATAGATAAAAGGCCAAAAACTATAAAATAAGTAAAATAAGTAAAACATTTGTCCTTTAAAGACAGCAACTCCTTACAAAGTTTTCCTAAGATTTCAATGAAAATTGCATTTTGTAGATCTTGTATTTCTGTTAATTTTTCCATTTACAATTTCTTCCTTACTATTATAATTTTGGAGATAATTCTCAAAAACAAGTAAATAAGTCGAAAATTTACATTCAAAGGCAAAAATCCTATGAAGAGTTAAAATTTTGGTTCAAAGAAAAATGAGTACCGGCAAGAAGATATTTACCTTCGGAGCCTGTTCCCCAGGTCAGATTTTCTCGATCTTTATAGGGGCCTCAGAAGCAGAGTGGCCTAAGTAATCGAACTATTGTATCACTAGCCTATCAAAACTGAGGTTGTGAGTTCCGATCCAGCATGTGGCAGGTGCGCTAGACTCCAATCTTAATTGACTAGGATTGTCAGTTTTCCTACCAAAGGTCTGTGGTTCTCACTGGGCACTATGGTTTCCTCCTACAATATAAACTGACCGCCACGAAATAGCACAATAGTGCTGAAAATGATGTTCAACACCAATCAATCAATCAATCTATTTCATGGTTTTCAGGATATAAGACGATTAACACAATATACCATTATTTTCTATGTTTAGGCATGTTGGTTGACTTACAGGTATAAAAAATATAAACCATATACCAAATATCATCAGGATCATTTAGCCAAAGTCTGACTGAAATTGGTCCAGTGGTAAAGGAGAAGATTTAAGGTTTTGGTTAAATGTTTACAAAGATGGACTATGACAAACAGCAAGTGATGGCAAAGCTCACATGGGATATAGGTCCATGTGGGCTAAAAATTTACAAAATACATTACCTGATACCAATTATCCAAAACATCATATTACTCATTATAACAATGTTTAGCTAAACTGCTATTCAATAACAAACTGTCCTAAATATGATTATCTTAAAAAAAATCACAAGAATGCATGATTGCCATGCTAAGCATACTCAAACTCATATATAAAAGTGATGGAAAACAGGAAGTATATGTCTGATAGATCTAAAAAGCCTTCATACAAGAAAAGTCATCACTGTCAAGCTACTGGCCACATAAGAACTTATTCTTTTCAATATATTCAATAGAACCTCAGAAAAATGGGACTAAATAATTTGTTGGAGGGATTGACAGACAGAGAGACCGACAAGGTGATTGCAATATAGCCCCACTCCAAGAGTAGAGTAAAATAGTTATACATTTAATAATAGCTTATTTAATAAAAATAAAGCAAACGAGGGCAGTTTGTTAAAAAAAAAATCTGTAAAGGGTTCTACAGAACCCTGTGTCTTACCTGCGATTGCTGCTGTCATTGTAAAAGTGTAACAATGTTGACTAAAAAAGTGAGTCCTTTTATCAGTAAAATAAAGAATTTAAAAAAAAAATCCTAATTTTTCTTTAGATGCTATTTCTTGGTCTTGACGACTAGCTTCTGTCCAAGTTTCAAAACAATCAATGAAGGTTTACAAATTTATCATATCAACAAAATTTAATCAAAGAATGTCTGTAAATGTTAACTGTACAAAACTAAAAAGTCAATTTATCAGAAAAATATGTAAATGAAAAAAATATATTTTCAAAAGTTTGCTTCAGACATTACCTCTTCATCATAAAAAAGCTTCTGCCAAAGTTTCATAAAATTCTATGAAGGTTTGACAAAGTAATTGATGTATAAAAAACTTTAACCGCAGACTGTATTTACTTGTTAACTGTAAAAAAACCAAGTCCATTTATCAGTAAAATATGGGAAAATGAAATGAAATATTTTTAAAATTTTGCTCTTAAACAAATTTCTGTCCAAATTTCATAAAATTCCATGAAGGTTTGACAAAGTTATTGATGTCTAAAATACTTTAACCACAAACTGAACCTAAATGTTGATGCCTCCACCTACGACATGACAGAATCTAGGATTGCTAAGTCTCGCACTTTATGTCGCAGGTTCGACAAAAATGAAACAAACCATTTATCAAATACTTAAATAACAAAAAAATTACAACTCTATTCTACATTCATGGTGTATTGAAAATTAAAGGAATAGGTGCTTAAATTGTAAGCAGAGTAAACCACATTCACTCAAGTGACAAAAAATTTCATGCACAGTGGGCAAATATGAAAATTCAAAGTATCGTCAAAAGGAAGTGACTAACTGGCAGATCTGAATATATCATTTAAGCCGCATAACTCATCATCAATATCATAAAGTTCCAAACTAGATATCAAATCGTCTAATTACAGATTGATGAATAGTGGTATTACAGTATACCAATAATTCAGTGAGTTGTTGTAACAAATATTCATTTTATAAGATTACAGATTAGATGAAAATCACAAATCCTATATAAAAAGGCATATCTAGAGGCTCTAAAGAGCCTGTGTCGCTCACCTTGGTCTATGTGCATATTCAACAAAGGACATTCTCCAAAATTGTAGACGAGAACAGAATTCATGACAAAAATCTCTGTTTTGTTGATCTTGTATAGTTGATCATTTAGGCTGTTTAGTTTCACTCTATCTTCTTTAGTTTTCGCTCAAAACACAAAAGGGTAAAAAAAATCCTCATTTAAGGGCAATCACTCCTATAAAGAGTGACAGTCTACTAACTATATCGGCACAATTTGACTTGTTAGTAGATCTTGCCTTCGCTAATTTAAGTTTCTATCTATCTATTCAAATTTTTACGATATTAGGTAAAAATTGTCATCAAAGGTCAATAACTCTAATAAGGAGTCGACTGACGATTTCGACCATGAAGACATAACTGTAGAACTTGACTTGCTGATTCTTTTTGCAGTTTAAAGTTTCTCTCTATCCATTCTAGTTTTCAAGATAACAGGCAAAAATGAAAGAAAAAAAATGGTAAAATTTGTCATTTAAGACCAATAACTCCTACAAAAAATTGTCTGACAGTTTTGACGTATATGAGCAACTGGTAAAGCTCAATATTCTGAAATTTTTTGCCCCTTTCAGGTTTTCAAAATAATAGAAAAAACTTGCATTTTACCCCTTTTTTAAGCCATGTCGTACATCTTGGTTGGCAGGCAGGGTCATCGGACACATTTTTTAAATTAGATACCCCAATAATGATTGTGGCCAAGTTTGGTTAAATTTGGCCCAGTAGTTTAAGAGGAGGTGATTTTTGTAAAAGTAATTAACGGACGATGATGACGGACCCCAAGTGATGAGAAAAGCTCACGTGGTCCATTGGGCCAGGTGAGCTAAAAAGGAGACAGATCAATAGTACCCGAGTGGAATAATCCTGCTGGGTTGTAAAACAACTACCATGTAAATTCAGAAATTATTGCAATGTTTTTATTATTGCGAAAAATGCGACAGGGTTAAAATCGCAATAATTTAAACTCGCATTTTGAAATTTTTTATATGAATTAAACAGGATTTTTCTCAATATCGCAAAAATTAAAATCGCAGTTTAGTCTAAAATGACAAAATCGCAATAATTTCTGAATTTACAGTACCATGTAAATAAAAACCTGTTTATAACCTGCATTAGTAGATTTGCTTTTAAACTGCACAACTTGAATGGCATTACAAGAAATGTACAGCATATAAACTTGAGCAATGGGTCAACAAGGTAGATGAAGATAACTTTTCCTCTAAGTAGCATTTGTCATGTGACTCCTACAAGGGATGTGTGAGATAATCTTAAGAAAAAACAATAAATTGAAAAAGAATTTCAGATAGAATCCAGAACTTATATGGCACACACAGAAGGCAAAATTATCACAACTGTCACATGACAATTGCTTATGTAGTAGAACTGAGTATAAAGTGAAAATTGGGGGAAAAATAATTTTTGGTATGTGTATGTATTGAATGCCACACACCTGCTTTATGTTTCTATAACAAGCCTCTTTTGCTCTGTTTTTCATTGAATCTCTATATTTCCTGATAATCTATCCTATCCCATATCCAGTACTACAGATCTCTAAGGTTAATTTTTCAAGATTTTCAATGACTTTTTCTACATCGACTTTTTCTGATACTCTAAAAATGTATGATCCAAATTCAAATAAGTTGTTAGGAATTCAGGAAAGTTTCGTTTTGTAACAATTTCCTCAAACATTCTAGCTGCAGTTAACAGTCTATCTTTGTCCTGATTGGTTGAAAATTGTTCAGCATTCTGTGCTGACCAAAATCTTTCTCCAATCACTTCCTGTACAATGTTGTGTACCATTTTCATGGTAACAACAGCTCCTGTATCTTCCAATGTGGCCTTGTGCCTTATCCATTGCCAAACCTATAAAATCAAAATATAGACGATTTAAATTTATACTGAATGACATATAATTAATAAGATAAAGTAGCCCATTTTTTAGCTATATACCACTAAGAGTTTTATCAAATAAGATTTGCTCTATCAAATGGATGTGTAAGGATATATTTGCTATATATTATCTCTTAGAAATTTGCATACATTCAATGAACAAGGACCAAGCCAAAAATAAATCTTCTTTCCCCTTGTGCCTGACTTTCACCCTGACACAATTATTTCAATGAACAATTACTTTAATGGTATAGACCTGACAAAAGTGACTATGGTCAAGACCATATATGTTGAATTGTAAGCTGTTGCTCATTCATGATACCCCTGCTATACCTTTTTATGATTAGGTAGTTGATCAGTGGTGAATTTGAAAACACATCACACAGTAAACCTTAATAATATGAAGCTAGGTTCCAAATTTCAGGAAGCTCTTATCCATAGTTCTTAGAAAAATGCGACCAAAATTTCAAACATGGAAATCATGTGTAAATGAAAATAAGTATTCAGTTAATATAAAAGTGATAAGTGATGAATGTTAAAAATATAAAATATAATAATAAAGTAAAGCAGATTTGAAAGAATTTTGTTCCCCAAATTCAGGACGTTTCTGTTTGTAGTTCCTGAAAAAAAGGCAGCAAAAATTTCATGCTCTGCAATTATTTGTACGAATTTAGGCCAAGTAAATTTAATTAGTAGATTTTCATCCAAATTTTTGAAAAAAATGGGGTGGGTGGGAGGATTTTATTTTTTATTTTTTATTAGATATGAAACGCTCTTGTGACGTGTTCTTCATATATGCAAGTGTAATAATAAGGTTCTATCATGTATATACATGTATAACGAATCAAACATACAAAGAAATGCAAAAACCAAAATTTGAAACAGGATGTTATTAATGAAACGAAATTATCGACAGTTACCGGTAACGAAAATGAACAAAATCCGGAAATCGTAAATTTTTCAAAATAAAAAAAATTGGGGCGGAACGATTTCAGAGGGGCGGGCGGGAATGAAAATCTATCAATTAATTTTAATTGGCCTTATAAGTATTGTGTAAACAGTGAATTTGGTGGAAGATGAATACCAAAACAAATGGCAATTAGATTGCCACCAAATTTCAGGAAGCTTTGATATGGAGTCTTGAGGCCAATGTGACAGACAAGGATTAAATCTAGAATACATAACATTAATATATGCTCTTCCCATTAATCAAACCATGTCAGTGGTTGTTACTTGTTTTATCTTTAAAAGATTTTTTAAAATCAAAATGCAGTGAAGATGAAGTCTGTTGAATATATTGACAATTGTTTTAGTCTCGTAGACAAATCAAATCTTTAACTATTACATAGACACCTGTCTATTACTGAAGAATGTATGTTGATCTCGATATGTCTTCTGCTTTTTAATGTTTGGTTTGCAGTCTCATTAACATTTACTTCATTTAGCTTTCATATAACCTGAAAACTTGATATTCGTCTAAGAGCTTTCACATTACCTGAAAACTTGATATTTGTCTAAGAGCTTTCATATTACCTGAGATCTTGATATTCCTCTAAGAGCTTTTATATTACCTAAGATCTTATTATTAGTCTAAGAGATTTCATATTACCTGAGATCTTGATATAAGTCTTAAAGGTTTCATATTACCCGAAATCTTGATATTTGTCTAAGAGCTTTCATATTACCTGAGATCTTGATATTTGTCTAAGAGCTTTCCTATTACCTGACATCTTGATATTTGTTTAAGAGGTTTCATATTACCTGAAATATTGATATTTGTCTAAGAGCTTTCGTATTACCTGAGATCTTGATATTTGTCTAAGAGGTTTCATATTACCTGTGATCTTGATATTTCAGCAGTTGCAGAATCTTCAACAGCACCTTTAAGATAATAATGACCTTGACCTGTTAAATATAAAATTATTAAAGTAACAGACTTCAAGCAACAAGTTTTTCTATAAAGTTGTGAACACTGAGATTGCCCCTTAATTACATGAAAAGCCACTATAATGCATGTAGTACAGTATTGTGAGAGAAAATGCATTTCAGAATTCCAATTTTCATGGTTGATGAAAAATATATAGGTTTAAAAGAGCTGTTAAATTTCTATATTCAGATTTTGAACAGAACAAACTGAGAGAAAAATCTACAAACTTTGGGTCTTTGGAATCAACCATCTTCTTCAACTGTAAAGCCAAAAAAATATTCTCCAAACATAAAATCTCTTTTAGTAATGTGCTATACTGGAAATTTACTAAAAGAGAGGCGAACGATACCAAAGGGGGACATTCAAACTCGTAAGTCAAAACAAACTGACAACGCCATAGAAAACTTAAGGATGTTCGCTACTCTGTTTCAAAATAACAAGATTTTTAAAAGACTGTTATAAATTAAAAGCATATGAATAAAGGAACTAGAAAAGCAGTGTGCTTGTTTTCAAGATATAAGCCATTGAATATTTGGCGGGAAATAATTCTCTCTAGATTTTTCATACATTTAACATTACCACCTTTTTTATTTCAAAAACTATGAAAAAATAACAAGGATTTTATAAGATTTTCATATATGGCTTTTTAAACTATATGGAATAAAAATATGAAAAGAAAAATATTGGTAAGTGGGCAAAATTTTTTAATGACACTACATGGATAAAACCAGAGGATTCCGAATATCTGGCAAAAAATCAAAATCAAGAGGAGCGAACATCCTTAAGACTGAGCAACAGGAACCCCACCAAAACTGGGGGTGATCTCAGGAGCTCCAGAAGGGTAAACAGATCTAAATTCAACCAGTAATTCTTTCTGGAAATAAATAAATTATCAGATTCTTCCTTAACTGAACCAATTATCTTTAGTTTCAATCAAAGTTGGCAATTGCAATTTGCAGATTACTTTTTATTCATGGGATACCATTTTCTTGGATTTCCTGGGAAAAGGTGATCTACAAGTTTAAATGTTCAACAAAGTGCACATTTTCTATAGGTTTATATGCAGATTTTGGTAAAATCAAAAATCAAATCCCCCACAAATTTACATTTTTTCCTCAAGCCATGCAAAATTGAAAAAATCCAAAAGAAATGATTCCACAGTAATCAAAGTACTTGTGACCACTGAGGTGCAAAAATTGCTTTCATTTTGCAGTGTGTACTTCAAATTAAACTAAAACATTGCATTGCCATTGAATAAAGAAATAGAAGACAATATTTTGAAATGAAGTTATCTTCCTTTGTCAATAAATATGTTCTGCAATTTCCAATCAAATAGTTCACTTGACAAGTTATTTGTAACTAGAACTAATCAACATTTTTGAACAGCAGTGTCACTAGTGGAGTAAGAACCCCAAACCCCACCTGAACATCTGAGTTCATTCAGTTTTTGGTCTACTGTGGATTCTTTTTATTCCTTGGATACCAATTTTCGTGGGTTTCATGGGTACAGTGAACAAAAAATTCAAATGTTCAACGAATTACACATTTTCAATAAGCTTTGCATGAACAGATTGGCAAAACCACAAATCAAATATCCACAAAAATGCAAGTTTTCCTCAATCCCCAAAAATCATACCCACAAAAATAAATTAATCCACAGTATTGATGAAATATAAAAAAAAAATAGGTGTATCAATTCATGACACAAAATCACTATGCATTATTTATAGCACCAAAAGCATAAGAAGACTTCCTCATGGAGCAAAGATTTATAAGTTTGATAATGATTGACACATACCTCTCAACCATGCCTCAATGAAGAGAATACCAACTGTAATGTTGTGCCTTAAACCTTGTTGTGTAACTCCTCCCTGTTAAAAAAAAACAAAAAAACTAGCATAATTCATAATTGTTTTTCTTTTTTTTTAAATTCGTAAGGGTTCAGCGGAACCCAGTGTCTCGCCAACTTTTTCTGTTAATCGAAGGCTCAACAAAAATGAGGAAGTAAATCAATAAAAATATTCCTCTTGATACTATCTTTTGATTGTAAGAAGGTTCTGTCCAAGTTTGGTTAACTGGAAGAAAACAAAATTTCCTTCTAGATACTAGCATTTGATCATAAACAAGCTCCTGTCCAAGTTTGGTACAAATCCAAAATAGTATAAGAAAGTTATTAAAATTTTAAAAACTTTAACCACAGAGTGAATGTGTTGTTTCCTGGCAGAAAATCTAAGTCCATTTAAAAGTAAAATACAGAAAAAATGGATTTATTTTTTTACAAAATGTTCTTCTAGATACTAGCTTTTGATCATAAACAAGCTCCTGTCCAAGTTTGGTACAAATCCAAAATAGTATAAGAAAGTTATTAAAATTTTAAAAACTTTAACCACAGAGTGAATGTGTTGTTTCCTGGCAGAAAATCTAAGTCCATTTAAAAGTAAAATACAGAAAAAATGGATTTATTTTTTTACAAAATGTTCTTCTAGATACTAGCTTTTGATCATAAACAAGCTTCTGTCCAAGTTTGGTACAAATCCAAAATAGTATAAGAAAGTTATAAAAATTTTAAAAACTTTAACCACAGAGTGAATGTGTTGTTTCCTGGCAGAAAAACTAAGTCCATTTAAAAGTAAAATAAGGGCTATTCCATTAAAAAGGAGGTACTAGGGTCGGAAGGCAATTTTTAAGTACCCCCACGACCAAGACGAATGTACCATGTATCTTAACACCAACCAACAGGAAGTCGTTTCATAATAATACAAGAACCAACTGGAATATATCTAACTTATTTTATTCTAATTTACCACTACCAAAGGAATTGTTATTTAAACATTATAGTTGCTGGACAATTTAGAGGGGGTGGACAGGGTCAAGGAGCTACAATGTTTGGTTATTACTATGATATAAAGGGCTATTTGTATCTCTTTTTATTTATTTTGTTTAATCCATACCCGAGTATACAATTAAAGTAATAGTTCAAATTCAAAGCTGTTTAAATGTATCATATCTATTTGCATTATTATATTAGCTCCGTAAAAATAAAGTAAGAAACTTCCAGATTTTTACTGGCCGTTCAAAATTGAGAAGAAATGACCTCTTGGAATTGTAGATATATGTATACTCTATAAAAACATCTACATGTAATATCAACATTTATTAATGATACAGAAAATTACTGTCACATTTCATTGGATTTTGACATGAAAATTTGTGAACTAAAAGTTATTTTGAGTTTCTGTATAAAATATTTCATGCTTTTTCTTTCTTTTCCATATATCTTTTGGTTTTCAATTCTAGTGTTTATATTTCATCATCATAGATGTATTTTGTCACCTGCCTGGAATTATTATTTTTTCTATTGTATTTGATCGGCAAACCCGGAATTACCCTTATCCGACCCCGGAATCTGATAAGGTATTGTAATCGTCTTCATTTCCGGTTTATGGCATCCATTGTTTTTCAATGTTGTTTTTGTCAGTCAGATATGATTTTACTCGTATTTACACATTACTTGTTGCAAATTTTCAGTATAAAGCTAGCGGTTGAACAAACTGAGCATCGCTGTCATGAATAATAAAGATAAAAATAAATTTTGAGATCGTTTTGAAGTTTTGGTCCCAAATTCATGAAATTGAAAATTGGGAAAAACGTAGGGTATTTGCCATTGCCAATAGGAATGGGTCCGGTATTTGGACCCTGTGGAATGCTAGAAAAATCCCTGGAGGGGTGTATCATCTCAATAGTAATATGGCTTTAAATTGACCATACTGATGGTTAAAAAGTTAAAAGGTCGTCAAAGTTAATTTTTATTTTCTTTCAAATCGAAGGTCCGTTGGGCCTAGCTAGTAACCAAACGAAAGTCCGATTGCAATAGTGGAAGGTCGCGGATCTCGGACCACCGCTAATTTGAACATCCGAATATTATTTTCAATAGAATTTGACATCGTTCGCCATGTACTTGACATTAAAGGGAAGTAACTCTTGCACTTCCGGAACTGGTACCATAGGTAGAATACAACGTTGCGCCTGTTGCTGTGTAAGTCGCGGGAACAGTTATGTTTTCCAAAATATCACGATAAGAGCAGGAGACAAAAACAATCGGTTATATAAGTCCCTGCAAAAACAAATAATAATAAAAAACGGAAAATAACACATTGAAACCGACAGTCACGAAAAATGACTGTCAAAGAAGACCAACAACCAACAATACTTAGTTTCTCTAAACACCAAGGGCCACTGGCCATACACGCTTCAACACATCAACAACCAACGGAATTTTTTATAATTGCCGTCCAGCCCTGGTACATTCTTTTTAATGGAATAGCCCTAAGGAAAAAATGGATTTATTTTTTACAAAATTTACTTCTGGATAATATCTTATGATCATAAACAAGCTTCTGTCCAAGTTTGGTACAAACCCAGGATAGTTTAAGAAAGTTATTAAAATTTTAAAAACTTTAACCACAGAGTGAATGTAATATTTCCCGGCAGAAAAACTAAGTCCATTTATAAGTAAAATACGGAAAAAATGGAATTTTATTTTTACAAAATTAACTTCTGGATACTATCTTATGATCATAAACAAGCTTCTGTCCAAGTTTGGTAGAAATCCAGGATAGTTTAAGAAAGTTATTAAAATTTCAAAAACTTTAACCACAGAGTGAATATTTGTGGACGCCGCCGCCGACGATGCCGACGGAATGTAGGATAGCTATGTCTCGCTTTTTCGACTAAAGTCGAAGGCTCGACAAAAATGAATTATAGCATTCTCAAAATTTTGTGCTACTTTTATTATCTCCCTTTGATTGTGAGATTCATAAGATTTGTAGCCTGGCAACCTGGTCCAAACATCTGTTCCCTTCGGTAAGGCCAGGCGTAATACAGTCCACATGAGCAATTTTTAGACCTGAACAGGACTGAATTACTGTGAATTCAGAAATTATTGCGAGGTTTTTATTAATGTGAATAATGCGACTGGGTGAGTATCGCAATAATAAGAACTCCCATTCTGATATCTGATAAATATATCTGTATGCAGGTTTTCCTGAAATTGCAATAATTTATCTGGCATTTTTGACCATTTTAAAAAATCTCAATAATAAAAGGACGAAATAATTTCTGAATTTACAGTACTCTGTATGCTCATTCGTCTCTTGTGAAGAGTTGTCTCATTTAATAGCAATCATACCATATCTTCTTATTTTTATATTAGGATTAAAATTGATCATAAGTTATACTGAAACGTTAATGACTTGCAAGTCATTTTACTCTTGAGATTTTATGTTAAAAGAGCAGCTTGATCCTAGGCTAATGATTTATTAAAAAGAAGAGTACAAAATACTTACTGTGGGCATTTTAAGTAAATCTTTAGCTGTGAGATTCACATCAAGTCTTTTAATTTGATGCTGATTTGTTGTTGATGACATTTTCTTAAACAACTAGAAAAAAAAGTCAAGTACAAATTTATTAACAAACATAGAATAAAAGTAATTATAGGAAAAATAGAACAAGGTTCGAGATTTCACAATCCCCAACCATGGAGAAAAAAAAAACATTATGAAAAAAAAAAGATTTTTCCTTGAATCTTGATTTTTGTAGTTAAAGATCTTCAACAATGACCTCATACCTTGCAGAAAAATAAAAATGATTGATAGATGATTGCTAAAGATGCTAAAATTCTTGACAGCACAAAAATGGCTAAAGATATTTCATATGTGAATTTCTATTTTTATGAAACATAACTTCACAATAATTCCTGAATAGATATAACAAAGACAACAAAATAATAGGTCATTTGTCAACTAAAAAAAGCCTTTACCAAGCATAATTTTGTCTTCTTGCCATCGGACTGGGGATGCTGATATTTCACTTCTAAAGCACTCCACCTAGTGGTTTGTTAAAAGCTTTAATTCTGACACTAGTGTGGATAGAGATTGTGCCCTAATGTTAATGAAGTTATAAGCATACAGTGACAATAAACACTAATTGTAAATGTCAAATCAACTGGGTTTTTCTGTCATACTTAAAATAAAATATAGCCTTAATAATTATGCCAAGTTATTATCTCCCCTTAAACAGGTGGATATGCTCAAATAGGTTCAAAACATATATCAACATTTAACAACGTGATCCAATTTGTGTTTATTTTATCTCCGTATTATTTCATTTATTGCTGAAAAGTCATTGAAGTTATGCTGACAAGTCATTGAAGGTATGATGAAAAGTCATTGAAGTTATGCTGACAAGTCATTGAAGGTATGATGAAAAGTCATTGAAGTTATGCTGAAAAGTTATTGGAGTTATGATGAAAAGTCATTGAAGCTATGATGAAAAGTTATTGAAGTTATGCTGAAAAGTCATTGAAGTTATGATGAAAAGTCATTGAAGTTATGATGAAAAGTCATTGAAGTTATGATGAAAAGTTATTGAAGTTATCCTGAAAAGTTATCGAAGTTAGCAGTAAATTCCTGTCAGAAAAACATTTGGGAACTTTGTCAATGTCTTCCTTTATAGACTGGTTCCCTGTCCTTTATCAGTTTGTCTCAGAAATATGTAAAATGTATGTTGCAAGAGAGATAACCATCCTATCTTTATAAATTTTTTACAACCACTATAATATAAACCAAATTGTATACAAAGAGGTGCGAGGAGTATATTAAAGAGACAGCAACCTACCAACACAAATACTAAAAGAAATTTTAAAGAAATTAAAAGTAATGCTTTATAAAAACTTCTTTCACACTTCAGTTTTCCATATCCTTTAAAAAGTAGGTTAAAATATTTTAAATATTGATATGCTCTCAAGGTATCATTTAAATGTAATTAAACACGAACCTGCTGCATTGGTTGTAATAACCTCAGATCATAGACCATAAAACCATCTACACCAGCTTGTATCTCTTTAACTTTACCTCTGAAATGTAATCAGTTTAGTTATGGTCATACATGTTACTGTAGATTCATTTATTTTCTTTGGTACCAATTTTTGTGGATTGAAGAAAAAAATTGAATTTATGAATATTTGATTTCATGGTTTTGCTAAAGAGTAGACAAGCCTATAGAAAAGTTGTACTTTGTTGAAAATTGGTATCCACCGAATAATAATGAATCCACAGTATTGTCTTTTCAATGTCAAAGGTAAATTGTCCAGAGTTTAAAAGACAACACTGTAAATACAAAATTTTTGTGTGCATTTATAATTGTTATTGGTGGACAACGGACAACAATTGTTGGGATTTTAGAAATATTGAAATCAAATAATGCTATTAAAATTTAATATGCAAGCTTTTATATTTGCATAACCTATCGTATCCCATAATAATTTTTCACTATAAAAAAACTTTCTGAATTTACAGTAACTTGTAATTTTTACAGGAAAAATAAGCATAATAAAATAATCATTAAAGAAGGGAAATTGAAGATAGTTTTTCTCTGCAATGGAGAATTATATTCAGTGCAGATTTTTCAAATTATTAAAATATATCTAAAGACTTGAAACCAATGTTACATAGATTTTGCTGGAACAGGATCACGGTCTATTATTTAGAGTGCTAAGAAGAAACATTTCTATGCCATTTGATCTCTGGTGGACTGATGGTGGAAATTTGTCTCATTGGCAATTATAACACATCTTATTATTTTTATAATAGTTCGAGGGCAATGTTCACAAATTCTTCATAAATTAACCACATACAACTTGTTAATTTGTCAGCACTAGACTTTAGCAAAAGTTGTTTTCATAACAATTTTCATGTATTTAAGCCTTGTATAATTCCGAACTAAGGTGTTTAGTCTTGCTTGTACAACATGTTTAAATTTGGGAAGCCAAAACAAAAACGACAAAAACAAACAGTTTTCCTTTCAACATGGAGGCTTAAGGGAAACAACTCCAAATCAATTTCAGCTGCTATCAATCAATACACATGTTTGTACTGAGGATTCATCTGTTTTCATTGATACACATTTTTTCATGAATTTGGTTAAATATACCTGCCATGAAAATACTATTTATATATTTACATCCCAACTTCTTTATTTTAACAGTGATGATCTGAGTCGGATCACCCCTACCAGATCACCCAACCTTGAGTTTCTTTGTTCTGCATGCTTTCTTTTGTTCTGTAACATTTTGGTGGGAATGTCGAAAACACAATAAAACTTAAAAATATCTATATTGAATAAAGACTAACTTTCAAAATTTTTAATAGAAAAAATCCACCAAATTTCCAGTGTCTATGCGGGGAAACAAACTCAAGACCGTAAGCATATGAAGCCACGATTCATACCCCTACACCAGTACGTTTGGATACAGACTCTCTGTTAATTTAACATATTTAAACATTGTTTCCTGGGCTCATAAAGATATATACTATATAGTAATATATAAAGTATATCATAATAATTGTGTGGCATTCTGAAATAGATGTTATGAATCGTAAATGCTTTTCATATAGTCTAAAAGAGCTGGAATGTAAAATAGTTATCCCACTCGGACTTGGTGTGTCAGTGTAAGAGCACCCTCCGGCCATCGGGGTGATCTTACACTGACACACTGCGCCCTCATGGGATAACTATTACAGAATACATTTTGCTTATAACATGTTCTCATCGCAATAATATAGGTAGGGATTAAATTTTAAAAATCCATTGAAAAGTTATCACCTTAGTCATGGTCTACTGACTTTACATCATAATTTACCTGTGAAAAATACAGGTACCTGTATTATCTTAAGGATTTTCGTGATTGAAAAGAAAAAAATATTTTCGTAGATTTCTGATTCTTTGATTTTGCCAAATTCTGCATTACATCCTATAGAAAATTTGCACTTTGTTGAACATTAAAATTCATGGATTACCTATACCTGCAGAAAAAATTGTATACCACGAATAATAATGAATCCACAGCAACCAACACATTGATACCTACCCTTTAACTTTATCAATAATTTGTTGAAATACAGTACCACTGGTATTACCATTAGGTAGAATTGGTGCTGCCATCCCACCTGTAGCATGTGCACCATGACTATGACATATTTTCACAACTAAATCCATGTAACTCTTCAGAAAGTGGCGATCCATGGACACATATTTATTTCTGTCTGGTAGGACAAATTCTTTTCTGTGACCTTAAATGATAGAATAAATATGCAGCAAGTTATTTTTCAGATCCTTTTTGGTCATATAGCTCCTCAACTGTTCTGGTTCTCATACATCATTGGCTTTCAAATTTTTCGGTTATGAGGGTTCCAGATGAAGGTAAATCTAGAAAAGTGCTTCAGACGCATGAAATGTATAAAGTTTTGTTTTCATTTTTTAATAGATTAAATCTAAGGTCAAGGTCGCAAATGCTTTGATGATGATAATAAATTGGTGTATAGAGTTCACTTGCACATATCACATATAAAATAAGGAGATGTGCTATGATTGCCAATAAGACAACTATACATCAGAGACCAAATGATGTAGATGTTAGCAACTATAGGTCACTATACAGTCTTCAACAATGAGCAAATGCCTGATATGACAAAATGTAAAACTATTCAAACGAGAAAACCAACAACCATGTAACATTTTAATAGATTACCTTTATTAGGTCAAGGGTCACAGATGCTTTGATAATGATTATGATGATGACAGATTGGTGTTTAAAGTCCAGTAGCAAATATCACATGCACATCAGGATGAGAACATGTTAATGTGATATGAGCATGAACTAAGCTATGCACTTGACGAACCAGATCTTTAATGAACTAGTGCAAAATCAAGTCAACAATCAAAATCGCTATTTCTTGTGATCATGTTGTCATCTCCCTACAAATGAAGGCATTTTAAACATTTAAAGATTCAAACTTATTTAAAACTTTTTGAGTTGTACATGTATTTCTCTGTTTGATATTTGTTAATTAGATACTCCGAGATTTGATTAAATTTGGCTTCAATAGGCCCAACAGTTTCAAAGAAAAAACTTTTGTAAAAGTCAACTTACGATGACGCCAGAGGCCAAGTGATGAGAATAGGCCCTTTTGGCCAGGCGAGTTAAACAGTATCAGATCAGACAGCTTTTAGTAGATTGTATAACAAAATTTCTGGCACCAAGAAATGTCACTTAGCGTAAGTATAAAGTAAAATAACAAAAATGCCGAGTACTTTTCTTCAACATATGTTAGGATAAGGGCAGATGATTATTTTTTTATCCCTAAAGGTCAGGGAGTTTCCATCAGCTTGGTAAAAGCTGGTGTAAGCCAAGAACTGTAACTGCATCATATTCCATACAACAATGTACAATTCACCGTTCATGAACCAAAAGGACAGTAGTTTTTTTTTAATTTTTTGTACTAAAATGAAATTAAATCTACATCATTGGTTTGATACCAACTATTTAGGACATTATTATCCAATCATACATTTTAAAATGAAAATAAATCTACATCATTGGTTTGATACCAACTATTTAGGACATTATTATCCAATCATACATTTTAAAATGAAAATAGATCTACATCATTGGTTTGATACCAACTATTTAGGACATTGTTATCCAATCATACATTTGGGTGCACATATTTTGAAAATATTAACCAGAATGCATTAGATTTAAAAGTATTTGTTTCTGAATAACTCCATACCAAGTCAGACCATACCTCTTCATAAAAGTTTTCTATCTTGTCCTTTAAAATTTTCAATGAATTGAAAAATGTTGCAAAAAATTTATTGTTTTTTTCTGAAAAATGAAAGACAGATATTATTCTGATAGAGACTATGTCAGACAATAAAACAAGAATGTGTCCATAGTACACGGATGCCCCACTCTCACTATCATTTTGTATGTTCAGTGGACCGTGAAACTGGGGTCAAAACTCTAATTTGGCATTACAATTAGAAAGATCATATCATAGGGAACATGTGTGCTAAGTTTCAAGTTGATTGCACTTCAACTTCATCAAAACTACCTTGACTAAAAACTTTAACCTGAAGCGGGACAGACGGACGAAAGGACGAAAGAACGAACGGATGCACAGACTGAAAAACATAATGCCCCTAGGTGGGGCATTAAAATGGAAAAAAAAATTAGAAGGAAATTTTTATCCAAGTTATCTGCTGAGTAGTCAATGCTTTCAGTACTGACATGATTTATAATGCCAGTTGATAACTTAAGAAAATTGATCTTATCATCCATGCCATCAGCTCAGTAGTCAGTGCTTCAGTACTGATGAGATTTGTAATGTACAAAAGTTGCCAGTAGATAAATAATGAAATTATTTAGAAACTAAGGTCCATCATGCAAATGTGACCTTAGATTGAATTTGGCTTCTTGTTTTATGTTCCTTTTGATCATATAGCTTTTCAATTGTTTCGGTTCTTATACATCCTTGGCTTTCAAATATTCGGCTTTGAGCGTTCCAGTAATGCCGACTTTGCGAGATCCTTATGGGTAGTCAAGGTTGTTAAAAATCACCTAGTAGTATTATTTTTTGAGTGGTTGGGTTCTAAAAACAGGGGTAGATCCAGCCATTTTTAAAAGGGGGGGTTCCAACCATATGTCCACATTCAAAAGCATTGATCGTCGAAAAAAGGGGATCCTGGATCTGCCTTTGAAAAAAAGTGCTTCCCATATGTTTAATTCTTGAAAAGCCCTTAGCAAAATTCAACACAAAAGGAGTGATCTCACTAATTTTTAATATCTACAAACATCAAATGTCAACTAAACATGTAAAGGATGGTGAAACTGTGAAATTAATAATGTCAACAACGAACAAAACACACCCTATATTTAACATCATGCCATGGCAACCAAAGTGAAATACTCAAAGTCTATCACCTAACATACAGAATTAGCAATATTAAAATAAAATCACTGTCCTTTGGTCTGCTGGTCATTGTTTTTTTCTGTGCAGAAAGTTCAAACAAATATCAAAAAACAAAGGTACAATATCCTACGATCGAAGAAAAGTAGGGTTTTTTTGGTAAAAATATCTTTATCTATTACAGCCTTGATTAAAAATCTATAGTGTATCAACTTTCTTCCAGTTGTAATTATGTTCCATATTCAAAAGCATAAAACTGTCTCTAATAATTTCATTAAATTTTTCATTCTCGGCATGTAATTGGAATTTATTTTTATGAAATCATGTGACGTCAGCACAAAGGTTAATCATAACACCATCACTCAAGATATAGTTATTTCTAATCAATTTTGTCGGGCCATGCTTCTATTTATTTAAATATAGAATTCCTAAACTTAAGTGTTATTAACAGCAAACTGAAAGTTTATCTTTCTTCAAATTTATTTTTTAGCAGCTGTTATATTCCACAATGTCACAGAAAAAGTAAAAATGCCACGTCCTGTCTGTTTTTGTTTTATGCTTTGAATTGATCTGATGAGTTAAGCCTTTTTCAACTGATTTTTATAGTTTTTTCTTATGATGTGCTGTTACACCACTGTCCCAGGTTAAGAGAGAGTTGTAGAGCTCACAAACATGTTTAACCCCGCCACATTCTTTATGTGCCTGTTCCAAGTCAGGAGCCTGTAGTTCAGTGGTTGTCGTTGGTTTATGTCTGTCATATTTGTTTTTCGTAAATTTATATAAATATGCTGTTATTTTTTTCAATTGAATTGTTTCATATTTTTCATGTCAGGGCCTTTTATAGCCAACTATACGGTATGGGTTTTTCTCATTGTTGAAAGATTATATCCACTTCTTTTGAACTTGGGTGGATAGTTGTCTCTTGGCAATCATACCACATCTCCTTATTTTTATATGGTCATTTAAATCAAACTTGACAATTAATAAGGTTTCAATTTTTATTTTTAAAAATGAAATGAAAATCTTTCTTATTTGTCATCGTGAAATTTTTTATAATTTTGATTGTCAAGCTTTTTTTCATCTAACAAATATTATCTTACCAAATTTATAGATAAGTGAAGTAAATTAGTCCCATATCCCATAATTCAATTCAGCTAAACTAATTTATCTAAAAAAATTAAAAAAAGAATGTGTATGAGGACACGAATGCCCCTCCTCAAGCTTCAAACAAACGAAAATGGGACGGACAAACGGATGGAAAGACAGAAGGACGGATGGTCAAGGGTAACATTTAATGCCCCTTTGCCTACAGCGGGGGCATAAAAAGTATTTACTTACCAAATTTATTGATAAATGAAGCAGAATAGTCCCATATACCACAATTCAGTCCAGCAGAATGGTCCTTCAATTCATACAAAATCTCTTCCATTTCAAATGATGCAAGAATATTCTCTATCAATACACAGGCTTTTATACAACCATGTGGCAAATCTAACTGAAGATATTAAAGTAAAAAGAGATGTAAGATACATTTAATTGAGATTGTAACCCAACAACACAATAAACAATAACATTTACAGATTTAATTAAACAAAATGTGAAGTACACATCAATGATACAGCAACCCAAATAAATATATATAAAATAAATACAGAATGTGTCCATGGGACACAAATGATGCCCCCGCTTGCATATAACGTTATAAAGGGGCATAACTTGAGAACGGTAAAAGTGACGCCACCCGAATTCAAAACTTGATCTGTGTTTTGTGGTAATAAGCGTTGTGTATAAGTTTCATAACATTTGGTTGAGGCAAACTAAAGTTAGTGAACGGAAACTAATTTTGGGACTACGTACGGATGTACAGATGGATGGACGGACAAGGGTAACACTTAATGCCCCTCTGGTGTCGGCGGGGGCAAAAAAAGAAAGACAGTTGAATGTCTTAGTTTTGTTTATTTGTTGGTATTTAACTCTACATTTAGCAACCTTTGCTATATCATGGCAGCCATTTTTTGTTTGTGGAGGAAGCTGGAGTGCCCAGAGAGAACAACAACCTTTAGCAAGAACACTGGCAATTCTATTCAATTATGATTGGTGTAAAACTCACTACTTTTAAGCACTGATCACCTACCATTTTTGATCTGAATTTATCAAAACCATGTTTACTCTGTTAACCTTCTTGATTTTACCCCAGTAAGGAAAGGACATAATATTTTTCGCATGTGAAAAAAGTTTCTGACAATTTATCACCCCTATAATTCTTTGACTGAATGGTGATTAAAGCCACTTTCATCACTATTAGCAATTTCATGGCAGTCAGTTTTTATTGGTGGAGTAAGCGTGAGTGCCTGGAGAGAACCACTGACCTTTGGTAGGAAAACTGACAATCCTAGTCAATTAAGATTATAGTTGAAAGCACCTGCCACATGCGAGATTTGAACTCACAACCTCAAGTGTTGACAGGGTAGTGATACAGTAGTTGAAATACAAAGACCCCTCATCCAACAAGGTCCCCTATATAGTTCTTTGACCAGAAACCCAAAACACACTTTTTTTACCTTATTTCAAATACCAAACATACCTTCCTTTCTGTATAATCAAATATCTTGTTCCACAGTTTGGCTTCATTACTTCCTTCTATCTGTAAATGTAACAGACTATGATTACAACAAGAATACACATAGTATAAATATACCATCAAACCTTTAACCAATTAAAGATCATTGAGACTATAAATTAAGTATGTGCAAACAAAATTGGCAATCCTTTGCATTCATCCTTTAAAACGGACATTCAATACCTTTTCTTTCAGAACATATATCAACTCATTTAAATGAATTGGGGCAACTCAAAAGTCATGTAGTGCTTACCTTGGAAAGGTAAAAGAATGGCCCACTTTCCTTATCTAGGAGAATTCTGGCATTGTGATACATCAAAAGTCCAAAATCAAACAATGGACCTGGAACCTCTTTACCATTTACCTGAAAACATTTAAATCTGTGAGAATGATAAAAAATCCACTTTATTAATACAGCAAATGACTAATTCCATAGTAATTGTTAAGGCCAAAAATATATATAAACTTGTTTCCTGTCTACTGGATGAAAAAATAGGGTAGGTGGATGTGTAAAATGAGTTTATTTTCTATAATATTTTTACATAGGCTATAAAGGGAAATATTCTAGGCTTTAATGATGCTTATCAAAATCTTTCTGGCCTCTAATGGTGCTTAACCAAAAACGTCCATAAAATGTGTTAGGCTAGGCCAGGAAATTTAGGGTGAACATGAGTAGGGAGGCACGAAACACAACAATATTTTTGTGACCTAAGCTTCTTAATTTGAATTTCATCAACAGCTTTAATAAAAAAAGGCTTTTCTAAGGTGGCTTTAAAAATCAAGAGACCTAAAGTTGGAGAGACAAAAACATAAACAGTGGATAGCAGAATAAAACCAAAAGAGTCTGTACAGAAACTTGACCTCATTCTTGTGTATAATTAGTCATTAGGGCTATTCCATTAAAATGTATACATGTGGGAGAGTAGGAAGCTTAAGGGACTTTCAAAATATCCCTACAACCAAGAACCATTTTTTAGATAATTTTGCATAATGGTAATAGATGCATACTGAAAAAAGGCCCATGACCCACATTCAATAATTAAACTTCCCTTTCTACCCTTCCACATACATTTGTATGGAATAGCCCTTACCAAGAACAAATTTAAATACTGTGGGGACATGACAAGGCCAACTGAATTAAAACAAACATTGTGCAATAATCTAATTTTGGATGTAACACGTCTTCTGATTGGCTGAAAGTGTTTTGTCTATCAGCTCATAGACATAATTTTGTCATGTGACCATGACGTCATCAATGTTTTTTTCATGATTTACTCCTAAAAATGGAATTTAGAATTAAATTATAAGGACTGACAGTAATATTTTTTCTGTCTATTTGAAATAACCGTTAAGCGGGTTATTCAGTGTGCACCACATTTTTTATGTTATTTCTTCATAGATAAAAAAAAATATTACAATCATTCCTTAAATCAATGAATATACATTGAAAACGATATTTATGTTTTAAAAACTCTTGAAAGAGCTAAATTCCTTTTGAATTGCTATATGGGTCTCACTGTCTTTACAGACAATAATTCTCCATTAAAAACAAAGTTCATGGTTTTTTTAAAGTGAGTTTTAATTCCACTGTAGTAATTTGGTTTTCAGCAGAAATGATTTTGTCTGAAGTATTTGAATCAAGATTCAAGTTTCAAAGCTTTTGTATTCTCAGACATAAAAAGTGTACAAGAGGTCAACATACATACAAACAAATATACATATGAACAAACATACATCAACTCATATACAAAATATTTATACAGTAAGAACAATAATGGATCATTTTTAATCAAGATAAACCCTAAATTTATTATAAACTAGAGGCTCTGAAGAGCCTGTGTCACTTACCTAGGTCTATGTGCATCTTCAACATTGTAGATAACTGTTTACAGTTTCTCTCTATCTTATTTTGTTTTTGCCCAAAACACAAAAGGGTAAAAAAATTCATCATTTAAGGGCAATCACTCCTATCTACTAACTTTTTTGGCAGAATTTGACCTGATTGTAGATCTTGTCTTGCAGATCTTTTTTTGTTATTTAAAGTTTCTATCTATCTTTTATAGTTTTCAAGATAATAGGCAAAAATGCCAAAAGTTGGTAGAAATTGTCATTAAAGAGCAATTACTGCAATAACCAGTCGACTGAAGAATCCGGCTATTAGACTTATTTGTAGATCATGTCTTGCTGATTACTTATGCTGTTTAAAGTTTCTATCTATCTATTGTAGTTTAAAAGATTTTAGGCAAAAACGCAAAAAAAAAAATTGTAAAAATTGTCATTAAAGGGCAATAACTCTAATAAGGTGTCAATTGACGATTTTTGATATAATTTCTTATTTGAAGATCTTGTCTTGCTGATCAGTTTTGCTGTTTAAAGTTTCTCTCTATCTGTTATAGTTTTCAAGATAATAGGCAAAATGGAAAAAAAGTATTAACATTCATCTTTTTAGGGCAATAACTCCAATAAGAAATTGTCTGACAGTTTTGATTTAATCAGATAATAGGTGGAGCTCAACATTCTGAACATTTCTGCCCCTGTCAGATTTTCTCTATTTAAAGCGGTTTTCAAAATAGTAGACAAAACTTCCATTTTACCCCTAATTATTAGACAAAACTTCCATTTTACCCCTATGTTCTATTTTTAGCCTCGGGCCAGGTGAGATAACAAGAAAATAACAGATGAAAACGCAGGATTTCTGAACATGAATTTAAGTTAGTCAAGCCAAAAGCATGCACTATAATCTCTATAAACAATCCTTTTATGATTATTTGTGCAATTTATATTTTATTTGTATTCTTTTAAAAAATTACATTATTTAAAGGAAAGTAAATTAAAACTGGATAAATCAAGGGAAGTACTTAACCCAAAATTCATTTCTAAATACACAAAGTTTTTATTACACAATGGCAGTTAGCCTGAGGTAAAAATCGTTGATTACCAGTATGTTTGACACCCAAGCTGACAAGTGAAGCCATATAATTATGCATGTTAATTGATTGACAGGTAAAATATAACTTCAGGTAATGTCAGTTACACCAGATATGTTGGGCTGAAATTTTTCATTCATGAAATATTTCATACACTGGATTTTTTTCTCTTCAACAGGAGGTCGGGAGGAGACCCCTGAAAACGGGATTATTGTACTCCCGTCGGGAGGTTCACATGTATGAAGCTACCAATGAGCAAATGATAAGGCAAGCATAAAGACTAGCTTTACAATCCTACATATATTAACACCTTGTTACATAAAAACAATTTTCATAAGTACTTTCTTATATCAACTTCTTAGATGTGAGAGTTGTTGATGACGTTCAAAGAAATGGCAGATGTTTTATATATTTAAAGAATTTTATTAACATTTTGTCTGGTTATTTTCTTATAACTGTAAATCTGTTTTAGCAAGTGAACAAAGGCAGATGTCTTTAGAAATTTAAATGCCATGATTTTTCTATATGGAGCAAAGGAAACAGGAGTGGACACACTTAAATGTCCCACCTTGTTTACTGATTGAATAAATGTTTAAAGTCTTTAAGATAATGGTTTTACTGCAAGTATCAGATAAACTTAACATTATCAATAACTCCTGTAAATGAGGTCAAGGTCAGAAGAACCCTGCCAAATGAATATGTACACGTTACAATATTTCATACACCCAATGTAGATAGATATTGCTTATAGTATCTGAGAAACAGACCTAACAATGTAAACTTACAATTGACAAATAAACCATGAAAATGGGGACAAGGTCAGATGCTCACTGCCAGACAGACACATACACAATCATAACATAAACCAAAAATAGTTGACTTTTTGCTTATAGTATCTGCAAAACTGACCAAACAATGAAAACTCAACACTGACCACTGAACCATGAAAATGAGGTCAAGGTAGATAAAACCTGCCAAATGAACATGTATACCTAAAGCCTCAGTCACACATTCAGGAATTTTACTACTGTCCTTGATAGAACCATTTACAATTAGCATTTGTCAAAAGTCTAGTCAAAGATCCTGTAATTTGGTGTTGAAAATTCAAACTACTGTATCTATAAAAATATTCATTTAATCATGACAAAAATCAGATATTGTTCAGGAAGCATCCCAATTTAGCCTTTTCCAGCCAAATTTGTCCAGATTATCCATTTCTCAATCCAATTCTGATCCCATTCGTATCTTTTACATGGTAAAAAACGACCAGAAGTAAATTCATTTTTTTTTAAACTTTAACAGAACTTTTCATACATACTGCTTATCTTTCCTTTTTTTTAACTAAATAATGTTCAGGTTTTGCAGTAATGCATTTTATCAGGTTATACCTACCAACAGATTATGCTCTATCATGTTCCATGCTCTTGGCCTCAACATTAAGACTGGTGCCTGGTCCACAGGCGGAACACCTGAAAAATCCAAATCAAGAAAAGTTCAAAGCATGACAGAAAATGTTTGTCTTGTACATAAATCAGATGATGAGTTGAATAGAAGTTTATTTAGGACAATGATATTAAGGTGATATTAATATGTGCAATGTTTTCAACACTGGATAAAAAAGTTACATTCAACTTGAAACATGCCTCCCCTTTAAGAAAAAAATATTCTGATTCTGTCGGGTTGTTGTCTCTTTGACACATTCCCCATTTCCATTCTCAATTTTATTAAAGATGTTCGCTCCTCATGTTTTTGAATTTTTGCCAGATATTTGGAATCCTCTGGTTTTATCCATGTAGTGCCATAAAAAAAATTGCCCCCTAACCCTTACTTTTCTTTTCATAATTTTACTATATATAGTTTAAAAAGCCATATTTGAAAATCTTATAAAATCCTTGTTATTTTTTCATAGAGTTTGAAAGAATAAAGGTGCCAATGTTAAATGTATGAAAAATCTAGCTTATATAGAGAGAATCATTTCCTGACAAATTTTCAGTGGCTTATATCTCGAAAACAAGCACACGGACCCTTCATTTTTTTCTGCTTTTTTAGTTCCTTTGTTTTTTATATTCTATCAATTTATAACAGTCTTTTAAAAAGCTTGTTATTTTGAAACAGAGTAGGGAATATCCTTAAGTCAGGAACCTAGTCAATGTTTGTTTTATGTTATATGTAACAACAAATAAACCTTCTTGGAGAATTTGGTGTTCATGGCAGATCTTAGATGGTCGCTGTTTTATTTACTAACAAGCATTCTGTGAGTATTGCCTGGCAATACATAGTCCCCTACCGGTTAAAAATTCATTGTACTGGAACAATATGCTAACTTGATCTATAACTTGTCATGGTGTAAACTATATAAAAAATATCAAGTCAATATCTTCAAGCATGACAAAAAAAGTGTGGAAAACTTAAATTTAAGTGAATTTTCTAAGTCCAAGGACCATAGCTCTGCACAAAATCATCAGAACTGAAATTCAAACTTAATCTGTAACTTGTCATGATAAAACTATATACCAATTATCAAATCAATATCTTCAAGTGACGAAAAAAGTGAGGAAAACTGATTATTTGAGTGAATTTTCTAAGTCCAAGGACCATAACTCTGCACAAAATCATAAGACCGGAAAAAAAATCGTAACTGATCTGTAACTGGTCATGATAAAACTATATACCACTTATCAAATCAATATCTTCAAGCATGACGAAAAAAAGTGCAGAAAACTAATTATTTGAGTGAATTTTCCAAGTCCAAGGACCTTAACTCTGCACAAAATCATCAGACCAGAACAAAATTTGAACTTGGTCTGTAACTTGTCTTGATAAAACTATATATAACAATTATCAAATCAATATCTTCCAAGCATGACGAAAAAAAGTGCGGAAAACTGATTTGCCGTACTGACTGATGGACAGACAGACAGACAGGTGGACGGAGTGCAAACCTAAAGTCCCCTTCGACTTCGTCGGTAGGGGACTTATAACCTATTAAGACTGTGTGCCATAAAGAACTTAACATACTGTATAGGCGCCCATCTATTGTTGAAGAAAGTATGGTTCAGAAATAATTCATGGGGGCTTGAATTTATTCTGATTTTACCACGTGTTGGCCCTTTATGCTAAATATTTTACAACAAGCAATCTCGTTGTAAAATATTTTGCATAAAGGGCCAACATGTGGTAAAATTAGTATAAATTTTAGCTATCGCTCGTGGTAAAACATTTAGCATAAAGGGCCAACACGTGGTAAAATCAGTATAAATTCAAGCCCCCATGAATTATTTCTATTCAAAACAAGACAAATACGTCAATTCTTTTGGATCAAAGCTCTCAAGGTGAAGGCAAATAAATATTCCCATATTTAAACACACTATTAATATTGACGTAAAAGACAAAGAAAACTAAATTAGTGACATGATGAAAATATGTACAATAACATACATGAGCAGGTTTAGACGAGGTTAAATGAATATCTTACTTTTATTTTAGAAAATTGGCGTTCAACACATTTCTATCATCGTTTGCTAATGTATTGACGTAAAAGACAAAGAAAACTAAATTAGTGACATGATGAAAATATGTACAATAACATACATGAGCAGGTTTAGACGAGGTTAAATGAATGTCTTACTTTTATTTTAGAAAATTGGCGTTCAACACATTTCTATCATCGTTTGCTAATGTTTCCGTGTTTTGATGACTTTCAATTTCACATTCATGCTTTTTGCCATAGAAAGCTTATACATGTTTTATTCTTACTTTATCGTTCAATGACATCATTTACACCCATTGACCTTGTGTAACTCATTCATTAAAAGCATACGAAGCGGGAGTATGATGGGAACAGCCCATACAAATTATGATGTTTCTGATCAGCTACATACAATATATTCATATTTTACCACTGGTGTGTACTGAAAGTGTTTGAAGAATGTCATATAAGAATAAGATTTATACCCGCACCTCATTTTTATTGATATTGGTACCAAAATAAAGTTCCTATTAAATATGTCTCCACTTTCTGGTCCCCAGTCATGCTGAGTTTAAGAACATCGAGTACAAGATTTTGTAACAAATCAGTTGCACCAACTTTAAAGAAGACAACCTGAGAAATGACAGTATAGACATCCATATTTGAAGAGGGGTTAAATAAATTACTGTGGAATGTGGGTTCATTAATTTCTCTGATACCAGTCTTTGTGGATTGTGAGAAATTTGTACTTTCTTAAATATTTGATTTCGTGGTTTTGCCGAAGTCTGTATACAAGCCTATAAAAAATTTATAATTTGTTGAACATTTAAATTTGTGCTTCACATTTACCAACAAAATCTGGTATCTAACAAATAATAATGAATCGACAGTAAGTAGTTTCACTTTATATAAAAATAATGAGATGTGGTATCATTGCCAAAGAGGCAACTTTCCACCAAAGTTCAAATGAAGTGGATGTAAGCACTAGACATCTGTACAGCCTTATACAATGAGAAAAACCCATACTGTATAGTCAGCTATAAAAGGCACCGACATGAAAAATATAAAATAATTCAATTGAGAAAAATAACAGACTAATTTATAACAAAACAATTTACGAAAAAACAAATATGACAGACATGAACCAACGACAACCAATGAACTACAGGCTCCTGACTTGAGACAGGCAAATAAACATGTGGTGGGGTTAAACATATTTAATTCAGTTGAAAATTTAATCATTTTAATTACCTGCAATGTTTCCATGAACAAACTGATATATGTTATACAATCCTAGAAGTTGGTTCTTCCATGTAGGACAATGCCCATCGTCAAAATCTGTCTGAAATATAAGAAAATTATTGATGAAATAGTCAAATTTGAAAAAAAAACTACAGACTAAGCTTCATCTTTTTCAAAAATGCATCCAAAAAGTCAAAAATTACCAAAGCTAGATTTAAATGACTCCTAATTTTTAGGTCTAGCCCTGCTCTCAATATTTTCAAAAATTGTCCAATTTCCCAAATTATAATGTGAAATAGGAAGATCACATTTATAGCTGAAGAGAAAAACAGCCATCTTTATATTTTCTTCATTTTCTTTTTTTCATACTTTTAATGTCTTGTAAACATAAGAAGATGTGGTTTGATTGCCAATGAGACTACTCTTCACCAGAGACCAAATGACGTTGAATTCAACTATAGGTCACCATACGGCCTTCGACCACTGTCTGTTGGGTCAAAGCAACTGAAATATCCATTTATGGTTATAACATGGAAAAAATAGCAAATTACAAGGACAAATGAAAAAGTAAAGTTCATTGTCTACATTTTCATTGCCCACTGTTTTTCATTTTCATATGTAAACAATCCACTGTTTTTCAAAGTCTTAAGTAAACAATTATCTTTCCATTGTTTTTCAGTCTTACATAAACAAGGCTACGAATCCTTGAGGACTTTATCTTGCTTATTAAACACCTTCAATGATGCATCAAGGATTTGTATAGTAAGATGCATCAATGATCAAAGCCTAAATTCAACTAATTTTTATAGTTCTTATCATGCGTTGTTACAAAAGTGTCCCAGATTAGGGAAGGGTTGAATACACATAAACATGTTTAACCTTGTCATATTCTGTATATGTGCCTGTCCCAAGTTAGGAGCCTTTAATTCAGTGGTTGTCTATTATTGCTGTATATCACATTTGTTTTTGTTTAATGTTTTGTTATGTTTACATTTTGTTAAGTCAGAGCCTTCTATAGCTAGTTATGGCATACAAGTTTGGCTCATTATTGAAGGTTATATGGTCACCTATAGTTGTAACATCTACATCATTTGGTCCCTGGTGAAAAGTTGTCTCATTGGCAATCATACCACATCTTCCTGTTTTTAAAATAAATGTGAATTTATCAATAGAATATTAATTTAACCAGTTAGTGAAAACACCTACTTAAAAACACCTACTTAATAAAATGCTCCGCTGGGGCCCAGCTTGATACGACCGCAGAGGTTGAACCCTGAACAGTTGGGGCAAGTATGGACACAACATTCAAGCTTGATACAGCACTGAATTTGGATTGTAATTAATTATTTGACACAGCATAGGTTTCTGACACCGAATGAATGTGGTCTAAGAACTTAAAAAGTTTTAATTTACCTATTCAAACCATATCATTATTATTTGCTTTTATATATAAATCAGAAATAACCAATTTAAAATGGAAAATTTTAAAGAAAAAAAAGGAAACCCCCCCCCCCCCCCCCATTTTTTGAACCCCCTTATGATTCATCACCCCCAAACTCAATCCCAGCCTTCCCTTTGTGGTATGGTACCTTGCAGTACAATTTCAGAGAGATCCATACACTTGAACACAAGTTATTGTCTGGAAACTAGAAAAATGCTTGTTTTTTGGCCCCTTTTTGGCCCCAAATTACAAAACGTTTAGGGCAATTACCCCCAAACTCAAACCCAGCTTTCCCTTTGTGATATGAAACCTTGCAGTAAAATTTCAGAAAGATCCATACACTTACACACAAGTTATTGTACTGAAACTAGAAAAACGCTTGTTTTTTGCCCTTTTATGGCCCCTAATTCCTAAAATTTTGAGGGAATTACCCCCAAACTCAATTCCAGCTTTCCCTTTGTGATATGGAACCTTGTAGTACAATTTTATAAAGATCCATACACTTGAACACAAGTTATTGTCTGGAAACTAGAAAAATGATTGTTTTTGGCCCTTTTTTAGCCCCTAATTCCTAAAATTTGGAGGCAATTACCCCCAAAATCAATCCCAGCATTCCCTTTATGATGTGGAACCTTGTGATACAATGTCAGAGAGATCCATACACTAACACACAAGTCATTGTCATGAAACTAGAAAAATGCTTGTTTTTTGCCCCTTTTTGGCCAATATACGACCTCAAAATTTTTTGGCACTCGTATAAAAAGCGCTTTTTGAAATTAACCATCATCAAGAACGAACCCAAACATTTGAAAGTTAAGGATGTATAAAACCTAAACACATAAAGAGCTATATGACAAAAAGGGACATAAAAAATAGTCAAATTCATCTATTAATTTTAGGAAATAGTACCTGTTATTGTTTGGACTCTGTAAATAAACTTTCAACAGCACCTTTGTCCAGAATATCAATGAAATATTTGCCACTGGACATTAAGCAAAAAACAATCATCCTTTCAATGAACTGTTTTTTTAAAGATTAAATTCTCTATCCCCATTCCGATCTCATAATTTTGTTTTACATGTCAGTTTTGTTCATATTAAGTTTTTGCAAGAAGGTTTGTTTGGCGTAACCAAATATAAACAATCATCGATTGTAATTGTCTACCAATTGAACAACACCACTGCTGAAAATTAATATTTCCACAACATTTAAATAATCTTAAAAAATTCAAAATATTTACATTATTTTTTCTTTCAACATGTTTAAGAAACATAACAACTAAAAAAAAATTAGTATTCTCAATAAAAATATTATTGTCAAATTTTTAAAAATAAAAACTGAAAATTATAATTGATTTGGAGACAAATTTTAAGTTTTAGATCTTTATCTTGATCTTAGATTCAATTCTGAATGTTTTAAATATATATCTTGTATTGTTAAAAAGATTGGAATTTTACATTTACTCATTTGAAAAATTGTACTATTAAAATTTCTAAGTTTGAACATTTCAATATTCATTTTGAAGACACTGATTAACAACTGAAAAGGGTGTAACAAATTTAAGTAAATGTTTGCAAAGTCATGAAAAAGCTGACAATTTTTTAGAACTAAACTGCAAATTTTTGACAGGCTTGATAAAAAGGGAACAAAGGAAAATGACAACCTTCTAATTGCAATTTTACATGTCTACTTTACACCTCTTTTCACCATATTCACCTGCTTGAATGTGGACAGAAAATAAATCACACCCATAATTATCACCTGTAACAGTCCATAAGTATAAATACAGATCTGAAATTGTCATCTTTACAAATCACACAGCATCCACTGAATTGTAAGTACTTAGTGAAATCTTAAGGCAAATATTTTACTTTTTTAGTTTAAACTTTTAAAAAAATATTTTTATTTTAAGACAAACATTAATTTTGATTTCCAGTTACATTAAAAACATTTATTTCAGTAATTTATAGACAACATTTTACTTTTTAGTTAAATTTAAGTCAAGCTATTATTTTGAGTTAAAGTCTAAAGGAAACATAAACTGCCAATAAATTGTCAATAAAAATTTTTGTGACATATTCTTATTTTCAGTCAAATCTATAAACTTTTATTTTCAATTCCGTTTTGGTTTTAAATGTCTAGTTAAAAATAATTAAAAGCTATTATATCATAGTTTTACATCTAAACAATCTTTAATTGAAAAGTGTTCTTTTTTATTTTGTTGATCTTCTTTTTTTAATATTCAGCAAAAGTAGGAGAAAAAACTGTTTTCTTTAATTCACATTTTTCTAAATGTTTTTATCACGTTCATTCTAAGTCTATCACGTAGATGGGATTTTTTTTTAACTTTGATTGATTAAAAAAAAAAGTGAATCAATTTCAGGACAAAGAATTTCTGAAACATGTAATTATTGGTATATTTGAGACATTCAAAATTTGAATCTTTTTAAATATCAAACATCTTTCTTATTATATTTAAGAATTGAAAAAAGCCGATTTAAAAAATTTTCATTTATTGATTAAAAAAATATTTTTTATTATCTACATTGAGATCAAAATGTAAAAATATTTTTCTTATTGTTGTTTTTTTTTTTTTTTTTTGGGGGGGGGGGGGGGGGTCTTTTTTGTTTTTTTACAGTTTGTGTTTTTACGTTTTATTATTACATGTATCATTTTCAAACCTTTGTTGCTCAAACATGTACCTCACCTTTTAATCAATTTATAAATAAACTATTTTTAAATTTTGGAAATAAAAAAGTTACATTATAATCATTTTTGTCAAAATTTTCTTCAGTTTTTATTTTACTTTTGTCAGGTACTTTTGATACATACAGGAATTTTTGGCAGTGTTTTTTTTTTTAACATGAACAGAAATGCACAGATATCATGGATATAAAAATAGTATCATTTTTTCCAATAAAAATATTGACTTGAAATTTACAGATTTTTGTTGATTGACGCTATTTTAGCTGGACATTTTTTTATAGGAATTTCCCATTTTCAAAGCAAATTATCTCCACTGATTTATAAATTTTGTTTTGTTTATTTACAGATATTGCCTACCATGTCGACACAATCTACATGATGCTGAGGTTTTGTAAGATGGTCATTGTTGTCAAAGTTTCAATGACCATCTAACAGTACCCACTATCATGCTTTTAAGTCATCAGTGACCAGTGTGCAGTCTACATGTCTCAGTGACCAATATCCAGTACTGTGAAACGAACTGAAAGAAACTGTGAATACCAACAACTGTGTCTTTTGTCTGTCACTCCTAATAAAAATGATTTCTAGCATTTAATTATGCATCTTATATTTTCATTCACTTGTGTCTTTTAAATCTACTTTTGATATTTTTTGGTTTCATTAAAAAAACATTACTGTTCAACTATGAAGGGATATAGATTGATACTTCATATTTAAGTTTTAATTGATATTTTTAATTATACTATTAAAAAAATCATATAAATTAATCTTAGATTAAAATTTACTTACAAAAACTAACAAATGGTAACATGGATATTTTTAATTTTGTCTTAACATAAACAGAATCAAGATATTTAAATGCATGCTTAATGTTTTCGAAAAAAAAAATTGTATCTTTTGTATTCCACAATTTGTGTTGTTCAGATGTACAAATATTCCACTCTTAGCTCTATCACAAGGTAAGTGATGAGATATTTTTAGCCTTGTTTAAAAGCTTTACAGAATGAGATACAGGCCATTACTCTATTTTTAACGTGATATGGGATATTTGTACTCTTTTTTTAAAGGATAGTTAGAAAAAATAATTTTGGGATAAAGGATAGCTTGAATTATTATCTAGGATATAGTATAGCTTAAATAACCTATTAGAAGAGACAGCTTAGGGGATAAGAAAACGTGAAAATAACACCTAAAAATAGGTTTTTTAGCACTTGAAATTGGGTAATTGTAAATGAGCTTTAATTTCTATCCTAGAATTCTCAGTCCATTTTACATTATATATATTTGATAAAAAAATTATCAAAATAAATGAGATTATAAAAAAAAGAAGAAAAAAAGACTTACCGTAATTTTTTGTCAAAAGTAGTTTAATTTAAATTTATTATCAACAAAAGGTAAGTGGTACATGTACAATGATTGGTCCTTTAAAGATTTTTCTATCTTTGGTGTGTCCTTAAATGTTTGTTGTTTCAACATTAGGCTTAAAAAATTGTTTGGTTTAGGTAATCCTTAAAGTCATGAAAGTTTTCACAAATCATTTTATTCTTTTTTAATATTTACTACTTTATATTTTTATGCTCAACATATTTTACAATTTTTTTTTTGCAACATTTTGACCTTGATTGTACTTGATGACAATCATTACAGAAACATGTGCTCTAAAATCAGCATGATACATTTTTTCTTACATTATATTAAATGTATCTATTCACTTCAAATTTCATAAAAAGGTTCTTGAAACAATTATTGTTGGCCATTCAACTGTAAAAAGAAAGTATCACAATTGAGATGCTGTAAATGAAAATTTAAAGCTTTTTGGCAAACCAAAAGTAAACCAAAAAGCTTGCCCATCATTGGCACACCCAGCATACTATCCCTACCTTAACCAAACAATTATGCATAAGCCTTGTATGTGTTATTCAACTAAAATTTTGATACAACAGATCTACAAAAATCATCTGCAATGTGGAAGTGTTTGGTGTAATAATGATTTGGTGGGGAAAATGATTACCAAACTTAAATTACACCAAGCAATTTGCAGTCCATGTCATCAGAAGTTAAACTCGTAACCACCTAGTTCCTTGATGCAGGATTTTGAAGAAAAATTTCGACAGACAATACAAACATAGGTATTTGAGTAAGTATTTTGCAGCACATATTACAAAAAGTTCATGTTTTACACATACAAACATGGGCATAACAGTAAGGAATTTGAAGAAAAAGATCATACATAACTACACAACAAGCATAAGAGTTAGATTTTGGAGCAGGTATTTTAAAAAACCAATACATGGCTGACAATAAAATGGGTATTAAAGTATGAAAAACAGTACCCAGTAACACAAAGGTGACTCAAATACAGGAATATAATGTACAAGTAAACTCCTCAAAGACTTCTTTGAAGTAGAAATGTGTAGAGGCCAATGGATAACAGCAACAGAGGTATCAGAGTAAGCTGTTCTCTCATAAACACGAATTTGAAAAAGAAATCCATTGGTATATATGACCCAAAGGAGAAGGTATGATAATGCAACTTTTTTTTTGCCCCTTGAATTTATAAATCAAATAGGTATTATAAATGACCAAACAACAGTCTTTCGAACATCAGTATTAATTATATATTTTTGAATGTTGTCTTACATATTGCCATATTGCCATTATGGCTTCAAGCTTCTTGCATTTTGTGCAAAACAGCAAAAAATGCCAAGATAGCCTCATTTTGAAATTTTGTCATTTATATCTAAAAGTGAGCATCATATTTGTGAAGAAGTCAATCAAAATGTTCAAAATCTATTTTAACCAAAAACTATGAGTAAAATGGCCATTTTAGATAAAATACGTAAATTTCTGCAAATTTTTTTTTACTTCATAGTGATATCACAAGTGATCGTCATGCACTAAATTGTATGGATTATATAATTTTGTTCATTCATTAATAAACTGACACAATTTTGAAAGGCATTGTTTTTTATTTTTCATGTCAGGGCCTATCACAACTTGCTATCTGGTATGAGTTTTGCTCCTTGTTAAAGGCCGTACGGTGACCTAAACTTGCTAACTTCTACATCATTTGGTTTTTGGTGGAAAGTTGTCTCATTGGCAATCTTACCACATTTTCTTATTTTTATATTGGATAAGTTAACTATTTTTGCAGTTTTAGGGGCAAAATAACGGCTCCAATCACATCTCCTTTTGAATAAGTCTTAGAGTCACTGTATCAAAGATCTTCAGAAGCAGAATCACTAAAAGACCATGGTTGATCTTTTAACACAATATTGGTATAAGAGTAAATTGAAACCAAAATTTTGAAGGTCAAAGTGAGTCATAGGATTTAGCAAAATATTCCAAAGATAGTTTTCAAAAATCTTCGTTTCTGATGGCTTCAAATTCTTCACTCGATATTTTTTTTTAAGAAAACTAAAAAATCCACGAATATAAGAACCCAGGAACAAATAACTTTTGCTCAAACCACGAAATTTGATAGCCACAAATAAAAGTACTTTCACAGTATAGGTAATTTGCAGTTAAAAGTGTCATTTATCTAAACTGACACTACACATTAATATTCAATTCCACAATATATCAGGCAAAGAAATAAACTGCGTCTCCTTGGCAATAATATCCCATATCCTTATTTTATACTAACTAGTTAAATAAAGCTTTTCTCAAGACATTGTTCATGAGCAAAACTGAACATGAGAGTTAATACAATAGCTGAAATGGCAACAGACAACCACTAACAAAGTTCCCCCCCACCCCCGCCATTTTAATCTTTTAGTGGACTAGAAAACAAACCTGTATCCCTTGAGCTGTAGTTTTCAAACTGGCTACAAAATGACTTGTGTTGCTAGGAGACACATCACCAAGGTCAACATGTCTACACTGTAACCTTTGTGGAACCGGCCTGACTTTCCAGTTTCCATGGAGAATTGCAGATTTTTTGCTGAAATCTGGCAGACCACCAGTGGAATCTAATAATAACTTTCTTCTCTGCCTTTCTTGGAAAATCTGAATCAAAAGAATGATTTAATTATCAGATCATGAAGGCTGCTTGCTGCTAAAATGCAAAATAAATGTCTTTATTAATAGACATGACAGTTATTAAATGTAAAATACATAAAAAATTACACATGAAATTAAGGGAAAATAGTTCATTGTGCTTGTCTTTCAGTTACAAGCATTTGTAAAAAAAATAGTATTTTGGCAAAGAAGAAGTCTCTGGAATTTTAATAGAAAGGGAGAAGATGAAATGAAAGTTATTTCATGTAAAATTTCATTCCAAATAACCAGAATTTCAAATTATTTAATCATGTTAACCAGAAGTGTATTTGAGTTGAAAGATGTTGAAAATGTATTGAGAAATTTTAAGTTGCTAAAAAATTATTGTGTTTACATTATGGCATCTACTACTACAATAAACTGTGTGATGGTCATATGTGTATTGTCAACGTTTCCTTAATTTGTTGTAATCCCTCTGGGATCATCCTTGGTAATTAATGTTTATACCAACGAGCTCTGTGTTTAAATATTCTAAAAAATCCATCTCAAATACACTTCTAACTGAATATTTTCAATTTATTATTTCTTCTACATTTTATATACAAGCTTAAATTCATCATTCCTTTCTTTCCATATGATGCGAATAAAGATAATTTTAGTATCAGAGATAATAACTTTAAAGAAAAAACTTGAACCAAAGTTGCCAAATATATAAATAGATCTCCCTCTTTATACCATCCTTCAATTAATGCCCCTAATTTCCAGTCAACCTTTTTCATAATTATGTTTTTTTCATATAAAGTTATTGTGGATGATCTAATTATTTCAATCGTTAATGTAACCTTTTAGCGCCGTTTTCCATTTCGCTATTGTTAATGTCACATGCTTTGTTTTTCATTTCATTGTTGTGAAAATCACTTTTTGCACCGTTTTCTATTTCACCAATATTAACATCATGTTAAGAGCATTTTTCATTTCACAATTGTTAAGGATGTTCGCTCCTCTTGTTTTTGAAATTTTGTCAGATATTCGGAATCCTCTGGTTTTATCCATGTAGTGCTAATGAATATTTTGCCTACTAACCCCTATTTTTCTTTCCATAATTTTATAACATATAGTTTAAAAGGCCATATTTGAAAATCTTATGAAATTCTTGTTATTTTTTCAAAGTTTTTGAAAGAAAAAAGATGGCAATGTTAAATGTGTGAAAAATTTAGAGAGAATCATTTCCCGCCAATTTTTCAGTGGCTTATATCTGGAAAACAAGGTCACGGACCCTTAATTTTTTTCTGCTTTTTTAGTTCAGTTATTTATATACTATCAATTTATAACAGTCTTTTAAAAAGCATGTTATTTTGAAAAAGAGTAGCGAACATCCTTAACGTCACTATATCTTTGGTTAACCTTGTTTCATTATTATGTTAAACATTATGATATTGACTTAAGATTACACAGTCAAAAGAAAAAGATGATGTTACTGCCTCTTTCCTTAAGTACATAAGTCACAGTTATCTTTGATATTGCACCACCATAATAATAATAATAAACTCTTTATTTAAAGAGGGTAACTCAATTAGAACTAGTCTAATTTTCATTGAGGCCCTCAAACAAAATACATATATACAATTAACATTCATATATCAAAATACAATATATATATATATATATATACAAATCAATCATTCAAACATTTAAATGGCAACAATTGATATAGTTTTCATATTCTAACCATAAAAGAAAAATTATTTGACCTGCATAGAATTTTCAAGAAAATGATTATAACAATGTTTCTTGAATAGTTCCACATTACAATTTTTTATTGTGAATGGTAAATTATTCCATACCTTGGTTGCAGAATAATGAAAAGATTTTTTATAAAAATTTGAAATTGGTCTTGGAACAAATAGATCATTATTAGAGACAGATCGTAAATTGTAGTGTTGAACATCATTAATATTTAGCATTGCTAAGTAATCAGGTGTTAGTCCATTACTTATTGCAAAAAAAATTTTTTGATCCAAAGACTACAGCACAGTATGAAAAGGGTGAAGTGCATATCAAATTGACTATAGTTTGTGTGTATACTAGGCTACTCTCTTCAGTGCAATTACATGTAATAGATGTAAACCTATATCTTATAGCATCTGAGACATAAAACTTTAAATATAAACTTGAATCAATGTCAATTAAGGTAGCTGGGGTGTCTCAATGGTGGATGATAGATTTTTCTTAAACTTCTGTAAAGGACTTTCTTGGTCATTGTATTGTCAAATTTCTAAGTTAAAACTGGGGGTCACGGGCCTTGTTTTTTTTTTTTTTATTAAAATACATTGAAATTAACGAAATCACTGTTATTTTATATGGGGGAAACTTAATTTTTCCTCTTTGAAACATTAAACGATAGAATTGGTTAAATAAAATTCATTGAGAAAACTGCTTTTCATAAATACTTAGGAAAAATCAAATAAAAATAGGATGTCACGTACCTTATTTTCTTGAAAAATTCGAAAATCACAAATCGTCCTATCAAATTTAATATAATTATCTGCCCTTGATTTTAAAAGGATTTTCTCTGAAAAATTTTGATGTACTTAATGACACATAATTTTTGGATACTTAAAATTTAAATTTCCAGTTTTAAATGTTTCTGTTGTTTATTGAATGATACTTGGTAAAATATTTATTAACCAAATAAGTATTTTTGCAACCAGATAGAATGTTCAGAAAAAGACATCCTTTCTACCTTAGGGCTATTCCATTGAAATGTATGTGGGAGGGTAGGAAGGGAAGTTTAATTATTGAATGTGGGTCATGGGTCTTTTTTTCAGTATGCGTCTATTACCATTATGCAAAATTATCTAAAAGATGGTTCTTGGTTGTAGGGATATTTTGAAAGTCCCTTCCTATCCTCCCACATACATTTTAATGGAATAGCCCTTAAGCATGAAAAGTGACAATGAAACTGATTTTGTTTGTCTGGATGTTGCCCCTCTCCTTAATTACACCTGTACCAAGTTAGGTTGCCTTAGTTACACAAACCAAGTACCTCAATCATTGTTGAAGACAAGAAAAGACAACTTTATTACAACATAGACACATGTGCCACAAGAGATTTGCAATCATAAATATATAAAAATACATTTGCTTGGCAAACAGCAGTAAACTTTATCAATATATATATAAAAATAAATAACAAACACAACAGAATTAATTTTCATAGATTTCAGCAACAGTAGTTTAACGAAGTTCAAACAGTCCCCAATTGTACCTAAATTGTTGAAGCAAACTAAAAATGTATGTATAACTTCAGAAGGCATTTATATTACAAATATCATGAGCCAATACAAATTGTCAACAGAACAAAACAAGCTTAAAATTGATTACTAAAACTAAAATATACTCCTCCATTTTAAACTTGGCCATATTTCTAGCTCGAAATTGTGCATTTTTCAACTTTTTTTTTGTATGTTTTCTTTGTCTGTGTTTTTCTATTTGTGTTATTTGTATTTTTTTTCTTATTTTTCTACTATTTACCTCTTCAACATCATTGTCAAACTTATTCACCAGGTCTGCTACAAACTTTACAGCTTCTGGTGTAAGCAGTGTTCTGTAATAGTGTTCATAGTTCACAGGGGGACTACTCACCTCTATATTGGTTAGACCTAACTAGAATTTAAATACAAATTACAGTTAGGTTACATCAATAATGTTTCGTCACTTTTTTAGTAACATACTCTGTTACCTTTTAAAGTATTGTTAATAAATATAGAACATCACTAAGATTTTTTCAATACTCTTAAATATATTAGTTACCAAATAGTTATCAAGCATGTCAAGCATATCAAAAGAAAATTTCTACAAATACGCCCATACTAGTTAATGTCTTGTGAATTTTCTCCATGCAGAACTCTAAGATCTTTCTCTTGTTTCCCTGTCAGCCATTTGGATTGGCATAGAAAAAATTGGTCAATTACATACTAAATTAATAGTCATTTGTTATGAGGCCATACCTTTTTTTCACATGTTTTATTTTGGTTGTTTTGATGAGAGTCACAATACTAGACATTTATTGCAGGAATACAGCTAGTTATCGGCAATTTGTACATGTTTCCTTTGATCCTACTGCCTTAAATATTTGTTTAGATCATGGACAGGAGACTAGATACTCGAAAATATTAGGCAATGACGTCATGTATCAGTGCAGCAAAGTCGCGTGTTCATGTCCATCCGCATCAATTTATCAATGAAATGCACATGACTTCATTCATACAACCGAACAACTATTACATCATTTTGTACGCGTAAAAGTAGTTTTACTTAATATTCCATTTTATTTTATATTCTCAACCAAAAACACATATTGTTAAAACAAATTGCCAATACAAAGACATTTTTGAAAGAATAATGTCATTTTATTTTTTGATACTGACTTCATCAGATCGAATATCAGCTTGCCCTAGCGGGCTCGCTTGATATTCTTGCTGATAAAGTCAGTATCAAAAACAAAAATGCCATTATTCTATATATGTCTTTTGTGTAATTGTATTGTTGGTTTGCTATCTTGTTGCTGTGTACACAACATCTCCTTTTATTCATAGCAAATTTGCAGAAGTATAAATTGAGAGTAAGTAAACCAAAGTAATGATTTTTTTCATTCCTTCAAGAAAATAGGGAATTAACTTCTAAAAATTTAGCTCTATAGCTATGACTACAATTATAATTTTACCAAATATTATATTATTTACCCAATAATATTTCATGTAAAAAAGGATGTAGACCTAGGTTAAAGCATTTTTTTCTAAGGTGAATTATCCATCAAATAAAATAAATATCAAAAATATTTCATTATATGACACAATTTTTCTGTTATGCTTATTAGCTTTTACATGTTAAAATATGATTGATTGTTAGTGTTTAACGACATATTCAGCACTTTTGGCTATATCATGGTGGTCAGTTTTTATGGGATTGCGGAAGCCTGAGTGGCCAGAAAGAATCCCAGACCTTCAGCAGGAACAATCCTAGTCAATTAAGATTGGAGTTGAGAGCACCTTCCACTTACTGGTTCAAACTCACAACCTCAGTGTTGACAGGCTACTAATACAGACGATGAACAACTTAGATCACTTGGCCACAGAGGCCCCTGTTGAAAGATGATAAGTGGGACATGTTTTATGGGAAAACATTACAATAATTTAAACATTGTTAAAGGATCTCTGCTAATCATAAAATTTTGTATCAAAAGTCATACAATAAAGTTGTTATATATCCTGTACCTTTTTATGAAACTTCTTTTAACACATCAGAAAATAGACAAAATGGCATCCGTCTAAATTCTTTCTAATGTGAAGTATGAAAATTTTACCTTCTGAAGTCCACTCTTCAAATGCAGACAATCTTCAGATGAATCAAAACTACAAAGCTTTCTAGTAATACATGGTTGTCTCCCTTTCACCAATAAATGATTCTTTATGATTTTTAGTCTGTCCATTTCTGATTTTCAAACCATGTCCTAATGAAGAAACAGAAAACAAACAATTGTAATATAAAAAAAAAGGAGATGTGGTATAAATTGCCAATAGAACAACTATCCACCAGAGTTCAAATGAAGTGGATGTAAGCAATTATAAGCCACTGCACAGCCTTCGACAATGAGAAAATCCCATACAGTATAGTCGGCTATAAAAGGCCCTGATATGAAAAATTAAAAACAATATAAACAATAATAACTAGCGTCCCAAGTGCCCTTGTGCTTTTTCTATCTTTTTTTTGTTTTCTTTAGTAGATTCCAGTTTTTATGGATCAAATGTTGGAAAAAATTAATTCAGTTTCTAAACATGATAAATGGTGCTATTTTACCTGCTCCAGCAAAATAGCCTCCTGAGTGCTATTTTGCCAGCTCCAGCAAAATAGTGATTTACATAGAGTTTTGCTATTTTGCCGGTCTTATTTCAGATTTTTGTTCAGACTAAATGATATAAATTCTAAGAATCATTTCATTTTTAAGCTTGACATATATGTATAATGGACATTTGGATATCATTAAATGTTAAAGACAGACAATCTTGACCTCTAGATGTCTTTAAATGACTTTCTTGCATTGTTGTGTTGCTGAATAAATTACATACTTGTGCAGTAAAATGAATAATGAATCGAATAGTGTATGATTTTATCTATTTTGAAAATGGATCTATATACCATTTACTTAAAGAGAAACTTGCTGCCACAAGTCTTGGATGGAAATTTCCATGTTTTCTTAATGAAATGAGCTTCGATATCAAACAGATCCAGCAAGTCCTTGAAGAAGACTGTCAGACATTTGAGAAATCTTCAGGGTACAACTTATACAACTTATACAAGTGATTTTGGAATCAACTTTTTTAAGTGATTTGGCATTAAAAAATTGAAAATTTTTACAAAATGAGACACTAGATTTTTTTAAATCACTGAAACAAGTAATTCGAGAAGTAAAAATTTAAACACTTAAGTAAGTGGCTATAACATTTACATCATATTATTCCGACAAGCTTGATCTTTTTATTGGTTAAAAGACAAGGATTCCATTAAAAAAAAACTATATACATGCAAGAATTATCCTTTGCTCGATCAGGCTATTAGTTTCTACAGTTTTTTTTTTAAATATATGCATTAACCATGTGTTATTAAACTGGAAAAATTTGTAGATCAGGAAAAAATGTGAAGTTTATCAGTATAAGTGAAAGGAAGACAAATCAGGTTGCTTTGGTACTATTATACTAAGTTAATATATTATGTCCCAGGGTTACTTAAAATTGTTGACCTTTGTCATGTTTGTCTGATTGTTAGAGTATTTGATGATTATTTGATCACAGAAAAATTCCAAAGGGTACTTTTTAAAGTTTTAGGGCAATACTGAAATTAATATATATACAAGAGAAAGGGATAACTGATCTATGTAGGCAAATTATAGAAAATTATCTTTTAATATAAAAATTAATGAAATCAGCATTTGAAAATCAAAGGAAACACCAAAATCACTTAAATAGGTGATTACTGAAATATTCAAATCACTAAAATAGGTGATATTGAAATCACTTGTTTTTAAGTCATACCCCTGACCAGTGACATATCAGAAGAAGGGACGGACCTCCCTTTTTCTTTGGACAATCAATGCTTTTGAATGGAGACATATGGTTGAAACTCCCCCCCCCCTTTATCCTGGGTTGGAACCGCCCCTGCTAATCATACCTACCAACTTTTCAAAATCTCCATGGAAGATTTTTAAGTGCTCCTCTTATATTATCATAAGTGTTTTTAATCTACTATTAAATTGTGTTAAAATACCCTTTTAACTCATTTGAATGCTTGTTTTGAGGTGTCTAGTTCATATAATAAATAATTTCAAAATTCAGGTCAACTGTAACCAAGACAATCCACAGTCTAATATCAAGGAGACTCATTTGAGGATTTGGTCACAACTAAAGTGTTAAACCTTAATAACCATGCACCATAAACTAGCAGTAATACACAGAAGATGAATTCCACTTAGCATATAATTTATTTCCAAGACTGGAACTTGTCACCAATGCTGTGACTTCCAAACTTATGTCTTTCACAATGATTGTACAATATATATATCAATGTATATAAGAATTAAACAATTAGCTATGGTCAATTATTACATAATGTGTATAAACAAGTTATTATCGAGATAAAGAAAGATAAATAATTAACACAACTCTTTTAGCAATATCTCTAATTTAAGAAGGATAAAGGATTAAGCCCTAAGGTATTATTGTCACTTTGTATGTAATGTCCATTATCAATTAGATATATAAAAACTTATTGTCCAAGTAGATAATATAATATAAAACATAATTAATGATAAATTCTTTGAGTCTCAAACATAGCATTAAAAACCTAAACACAGCTGAAAGTCATTTTAACTCTGTCATACAACACCTATTGTGAGGGAAATTCCAATAAAATGGTGAAGATTGACAGGTCTGAATAAGGGCTCTAAAACCTTCACTTCATGACATATACGGGAGCGTAGCTATAATCCGACACCCCGAAATTCAAACAGTCCAGTAGTCCGACAGTCCCATAGTCTGACAGTCGGTTAGTCCAACAGTCAAATAGTTGGACGGTCCGATAATCCGCCATTCCGTTAATCCGACAGTCCGATGGTCCGACACAAAGCTGTGCTGCTGCAAAGAATATGGATCTTGTCTTCATATACATGATATAAGCTTTTTAGTATACTGTAAAAATGTGAGCAGTGTTTTAAAATTTAAAAAGGTGAATGCATTGTAATGTATGGGATCAAAATTAATTCCTACACTGTTTGAACAATTAATCTAAGATTCCATTCTTGTTCATCATGTAGAAGTTGATAACGAGAATGTCTGTTTACATACATGAACATGCACGTAACGTATTATGTGGTTGAATGTGAAATGTCACATGCATAGGATTTATGCTTCTCATATCTGAGGGGCGTTAGCCCCAAAGATATGAGATGACTACATCAGATTGATTTACATAGAAGTAATCAAATAAAAATTTCATGGGTGTGCTCGTTACTTTCGAGAATGCGAATAATCGCATGAGGGTCATTGACATTCATGAAATGTATTAGTTTTTATATTAGCCCTACACTCAACGGCCAATTGATTCGGTTCTCTGTCTGTTTTTTTTTTACATTGTATCCATTATAGATTAGTACCTTCCCTCCACGATTTTCTGTAATCACCTATGCAGCCATCACTAAAGTGTGTATGGTTTCGAGGTAGAAGCATACAAAGTGCTTCCAAACAAAACTGACACTTGAGTTAACATAAGGGATTAACCATTCGACTTTTGTTTTCACATCAACGACGTCACATGTAAAATCGTACGTTTATGAACATCGCAGATTCCTCTGCCCTTGATACTTCAAGTTTGCTTGAACAGATTTTCATAAATATTGATGAAAAAAATGCCCTCATAATTAATCATTTAACAGGCCTTTAACAGTTTTAGCCCCATTTATCAAAACTCGGTCTAATCCTTTCCACTATCTAAGGGTATTGGCGGATTAATCCGAGGATTGCCAATTGAATTAAGCCTGCTGCATTCATTTCCTGTTCGTATGGGATTAGTGCGGCCCTATTCAAGATGTCGACGTCATATTGACTGATAAGATAATTTTCTGTGAGAAAAAATATACCAATTTACAAATGTAACATGTCTATATAGGCATTTTTGTCAAAGACAAGAAGCAGCACGTCAGATTATTGGGCTTGTAGGATTATAGGACTGTCGGACTTTAGGACTGGCGGATTATGGGACTATCAGATTATAGGATTGTCAGATTATGGGACTGTCAGATTATAGCATGTATAGCTACTATAGGTCTGACCCTCATATATACAGTAACCAATTCATTATAAGTGTTTTGCAAAGTGTCATAATTAAAATTGTTTGGTTTGAATTAATTAATGGAAAATAACTGAATGTGCATGTAAAGGTTGATCAGTGACAGTTCCAAACTTTAGCAATGACCCCCAAGCAATAATTTTGTCTTTGGCCAAATTACTACGAAAAGAAATATGTTCTGCGTGAATGACAGTTTAATGCATGCTGCCAGAACAAGTCAATAAATCATCAGGCTGCAATTTTCATTGTCATTTCGGATAGCATGGGATTTAAAATACACAAATTTACCGATCAAAATGTCAAGGCCCTGTGAAAAAAAATCTCATCTGTTCTCAGCTGGTACCCTACGGCTACGTAACTGGTACACAAAAGACAAAATAATAAATTTAGAGTCAAACACGGAAATTGCACAACAGAGGAGGCATGACATCTTCACTGTCTAATACTGTAATTTCAATTCCTATTGAATTGTAAAGCTGTTATATTTATTTAAATTTATCTTAAAGTTTTTAAACCCTAACTTTATCACTTTCAATATGTCTCAATCATAAAATTGAGAATGGAAATGGGGAATGTGTCAAAGAGACAACAACCCGACCATAGAACAGACAACAGAAGCCTGAGAAGGTCACCAACAGGTCTTCAATGCAGCGAGAAATTCCCGCACCCGGAGGCGTCCTTCAGCTGGCCCCTAAACAAATATATATACTAGTTCAGTGATAATGAACGCCATACTAAACTCCAAATTGTACACAAGAAACTAAAATTAAAAATAATACAAGACTAACAAAGGCTAGAGGCTCCTGACTTGGGACAGGCGCAAAAATGCGGCGGGGTTAAACATGTTTATGAGATCTCAACCCTCCCCCTATACCTCTAGCCAATGTAGAAAAGTAAACGCATAGCAATACGCACATTAAAATTCAGTTCAAGAGAAGTCCGAGTCTGATGTCAGAAGATGTAACCAAAGAAAATAAACAAAATGACAATAATACATAAATAACAACAGACTACTAGCAGTTAACTGACATGCCAGCTCCAGACTTCAATTAAACTGATTGAAAGATTATGTCTTCATCATATGAATATCAGGCACAATCCTTCCCGTTAGGGGTTTAGTATCATACCATCATAACATATATGAGAAGAACATAATTCTATAGTCATGCCAATTACTGGTTTTTAAATAAATGTGTTTAGTGCATGTTTGAGTCATGTTTTGTCTGACAACATTGTGTGCTTCAAATAATTACTCCATTCAGCCTCACGCATTCTACTGTATATGATAATCTAACAAACTATTAATATACAAGTAGGCTGTAAATTCAGAAATTATTGTGAGGTTTTATAAATGCCAATAGTGCAACTATTTGAGTATCGCAATAATAAGAACTCAGCATATTGTAATAATGTAGCTTTTCCTAAAATCGCAATAATTAAACTCGCATTTATGTTCAATTTTGAAAATCGCAATATTCCAATAATAAATGAATGCAGTAGATCTATATCAAGTAACATTGGCTTTCTTTCCATGTACTGGAACAGGGTTTAAACATGTGTTAAGCATGGTCATGATGATAGGGTACAGTTTACTGGTAAGGATCTGTGTTAGTTCAAATGATTATGATATCTTGAAAGGCTATTTTATTTTTTGCAGTGATGCCATAGAATAGCCTTTGAAGACTTCATAATTATTTGGACTAGATCTGTAACCAATACTGGCTTTAATACAGCTAAGGTGAAGTTGCTGTCGATTGATTGGTATCCGGTCGTTCCGGCCCCAAACCGATCCGGCCCCAAGTCAATCCGGCCCAAAGTCGATCCGGCCCAAGTCGATCCGGCCCACGTCGATCCGGCCCCATGTCGATCCGGCCCCATAATAAATGATAAGGAATAAACTATATAGACATTTAATCAGTATAAATGGGATTTGTAAAAAGTATCAATGATGGATGACAACAGGTCAGTAAAGTATGAATATATTGGAGTACCAGTAAGATGAAAGATTTAAAATTTTTAAATGGTTGTGATTGTGTCTGTTTGTATAGCAGCTTCAGCATAATAATATTAAGGTATTTTCCTTGATAACTTTGAATGTCATGGAGATTTTTTAATTATTTAAATCACACTTAGAAGAGATAAATAAATATTTAAAATCCAATAAAACCTGTAAAGTTTAACTCATTATAATGACTTGTTTAATCAAATCATTAGTCTATAATAATTGGTTTGTTTATTCAACTATTGTCTGATGATTGTGAACTAAGGTAATGCAACTTGTAATCACTTAATTCAATCAAATCCTGATTGATTAAAGTTGCGTAATCAACAAGGCCTTTATAGTTTGATCTTTTGTTTGGTGTTATGTCTTATAATAATTATTTGCCGGTATTTTTTTTTCAGGTAACATCAGAGGCTTCTATAACACTTTTTTTTTTTTTTTGTAATATCAAATGTAGTCAATACATTTTTTTTAAAGTTGACAATATTTTGAATAGTTGTGTGTAGATAAAATAAAAACAAGTTATATGAGTATCCATTATTCTTTATTGCAAGATAATAAATAAACAATTACACTGAATGCACATTTTCAGAAAGGATTCGGCAAATCAAACAACGTTTCTCAATTTGAGAAATTTTAAGAACAAAGATTGTATGTATCAGCTTCGAGATCGTCTAGTACCATTGTGTATGTAACTATTTGTTATTACACAGGATGAAAGACTTGAAAAGATCACAGTCAGTTGAAAGAAAATGCTAATTACTGCTGATTAATGTTGATGTCTTTTGATTGTCCTAAATTCTTTTATATACGTTTTTAATATTATTATACCCAATAATTTTGAAAACTTGTAATGAAAACATAATCAACCTAGTTGTCTTATACTCATGTAAAGACAATATTTGTCAAAGGCCTTTTTTTTTTTACCGTACTGCAGTACACATTTTACATTATAATAAAATTCTATAACATTTATGAATTACAATTAATATATATCTTTATTTTTATTCCTTATAAATATATTTTTATTGGGGCCGGATCGACTTTAAATATGGGCCGGATCGACGTTGGGCCGGATCGACGTGGGCCGGATCGACTTGGGCCGGATCGACGTGGGGCCGGATCGACATGAAAGCGATTGATTGATGATTCGTGAGAGCAGATTTAAAGCTGACTATATGCTTGTTGTAAGCACAGCAGTACGTGTCTTCTTAATGGTTCCACTGTCTATAATTTTGGACATGAAGAATGAGTTTGATTGTTGTGTTCAGCAGGAGAGGATAATCTGATACATACATGACATATAGTCAAGGGTATAACTTGAATAAGTTATTAGAGAAAAATAACACATTTGTTTTTGTGGACTAAAAAATCAAAAAACTGTGATAACATATGCATGCTACATGTTTCAAAGGGGCAATATACATCCTTTGTTTTGTTTTGTTAAATTGTTTACAAGTTCTATTAATATTATCATTGTCTTTATGTACACTAAACTTAAGAAGGATATAACAGTACATAGTTTGCCAATCATGCATATATATATATGTTATCACAGATAAATATGCCTGTAATAACTAAGGGGTGTTATTACAGCTTCTCTACATTACTTCAAAGCCTTTGCTCAGACATACATCATGCTTAATCATGTTAATCACAATGTATTTTAATTTATTGTAAGAAATAATGATCAGAGCATGTAATGAGATTCTGTGCAAGATTCCAAGTAATTCCCAAGTGTCTCATATAATAAGTTATTTGCCTGCTGTAATAACTAAGCCTTGTTATTACAGCTTATAGTTTATCCCTTAAAAGCCATGTCTCATTGATTTACCATGGTTGATAAAAAAAATGTATTAATTGAATTGGAAAATTAGTTATCAGGGTTATGTATTAAGTTACTGCGCAAAGTTTCAAGAATTCCCAAGTGCCCACTAAAAATAAAATTATTAACATGATTAATGATAGATTTGACTAATTAACAAACAAATGTTACTGCAGAGTAAACAACTCATGAAAGTATCTGTAATGACATATGTATGTTATTTTTCTCTAATAACTTATTCATGTTATTTAAGTTACACCCTTGACTGTTATACATGTTATAATGTTTTTCTGAGTTTTGCAGAAAACAGATGTACAATGTATGGTCTGCAAATTGTCAAAAAATATTACAAAGAACATCAGAGCTACAGTTTCAGGGCTAGTACAAAGCAGGCTCCATAACATGTTCTCATTCCAATATTTGCATTTGACATTGAACCCCAATCCTGTATCATCATTCATCTCATATTCATGAAATTATAACATTCAGATTAAGGTTTATTGATTAATTTTATTTTAGTATGATATCATCCAGAATATGCATTTAGGTGTGGCAGGTGTGCTCGACTCTAATCTTAATCGACTTGGATTGTTAGTTTTCCTACCAAAGGTCTGTGGGTCTCTCAGGGCACTATGGCTTCCTCCACCCAACTGCCAAAAATAACTGACTGTCATGAAATAGCACAATTGTGCTGAAAATGGCGTCAAACACCAATAAATCAATCAATCAATATGCATTTAATACCTGGAACTCAGCAACTGTACATCTTTAAGATCGGTCTGTCATTTATTGCCCTGGTCCTGTTAATAGCAAATAAAATTCTTTGTATACATTTTGCATTTCAATACCAAACATTGTTTTTATGAATTTTTTATCTGTTTTTCATTAGTGACCATGATGACTATATATTATCTTGAAGTTCTGAGATGGTTTGTTTCTGTTGTTCAAATCTCAATTGACACACACCTGGCAGGTGATTACATGTATCCGAAAGATAGGCATGACTGGACCTTATCATTGCTTTTGCAGTCAGAGGAGATCTGGCCATCATGGAAAAATACCTTGTGAAGTGGATTATTCTTTTTGTGTGTATTAGAATCAGAATTTATGTTAATCTTAATTTACATAATATTATATTTTAATTGTACATGTGATGTATTTGTTTAGGAGTTCAGCACCAAAGTTGATCAAGCAGCAGAAGCAGGGGAGCAGTTCTCCAAACTGTATTATGAGACTACAGACAAGAAAAGACATGTATGTACTGGTAACCTTATATATACATGTACCACATTTAAAAATTCCATTGAAAGTTAATTTATTTGCTTAAAATACCATGTGACTATAGTAAACACAAATTTATTCAGCTTGAAACCAAGCAATATATTCAAGATGCAACAAAAGATCTTATAAACAACTTTGATGCTGAAATACTGGCCAATAGTCATGGAACTCTCTGGGTACTCTGGTTTATTTTAGCCACCATGCTAATGATGATATTGCCAAAGAGTGCTGAAGGTAGGGTTGAACACCAACATTCAATCAATCTGAATAACTGAAGAAGAAAGGAAGAAAGATACTAAAGGGGTAGTCAAACTCATTTGTCCAAAAACAAACTGCATTACCATGGCAAAAAGACAGTACACAAAAACAACATAGAAAACTAAAGACTCAGCAAAAAACAGGAGTGATTTTAGGTGCTCCGGATGAGTCATAACAATTGAATCATAATGACCATATCTGAATGTCCAAATTCCTGATATACCTTGCTTGAAACTGACACAGTTAGCATGACTAAATATCACTGGGTTAAGCAGTTTATGAATTGTACCTTCCTTCATTAGCCTTATTCAAAGATTTGACTGAAGTTTTTTTTTGTAAATATATGATACATGTAATTCAACAAAACATTAAAAAAACGTATGTTTATAGAATTTCAGACAATGCATTGAATAAAGCTTGCAATTAACATGGTTATGATTAGATCTTTAATCATGATCATGTTGATGTTTATCATGTTTGTGTGCTTCTTATTGCTATTGTATAAAAATGTATTTTATTTACAGCTATTACAGAAATTATACCTTGACTCAGCTACTGTTGTATGGAATGGAAATGCTGTAAAGGGTTTGGAAGAGATCATTAAATTCTATGATACAATACCTACCTCGGAACATAATCTTGATTCTCTTGATTGTCAGCCATTAACAGGTTTGTTTTTTGTGCATTAAACCATAGGATTGGAGGAGATACTGTGGATTCGTGTATTAGTTTCTTGTTGCAAAAACAATAAAAAAAAACTCTTTGGTAAAGACAGATATGGTGTATTACTTCATGACAAAAAATTCCTTCACACATTTCATACATTAAAGCTAAAGAACAAAATTCTTTATTGCAGTTCTTCATCTCAGTCACCTAAAACAAATTGCCCACACCCCTCTTCATGTTCTAGAATCAGAATTTGTTGCTAGATCTATAAAGATGTCAACATGGATTATGTTTTATGTTTTAAAGAACACATATGTGAAGTATTATCACCAAGTTACAGAATAATGAGCAGAGAAATCTTAAAGAACTAATACCGTCATACCCTCAAAGCTACACACCAAAATTTGAATTTGAAAAGCGTGGAATTTGAAGACAGTCATTAAAGTCTATTATATGCTTGAAATTATGTAATGAAGCCATTTTTATTGATATATTTTAGATCAGATATCTGGAGGACAGATGACTATTTGTGTTAAAACATTCGGCACAGTGAAATATGACAAGGCAAAACCTAAAATCTTCCATCAAAATTTTATCTTGACTTCAGTTAATAATGTATGGAAGATTGTCAGTGACAGCTTTAGATTTCAGGAATGAACATTGCAGTCAAAAAGTATGGGTGCTCATCAGTGACAACTAAAATTTCTGGAAGATAATGACAATTTGAAATTTCATGCATGAAACGCATATATGTGATTGACAATGGCAGCTAGCATTTCGAGAAGATTGATAAATGTTAATGATGCTTGTATGTCTAAAACTGGGTCAAAGTTCAATGAGTTTATGCTTCTAGGGACCAAAAATATGAAGCCTTTAAAAGATTGTAGGTGAAAGCAATTTGACAGATTGTGAAGACTGAACAATGTATAAATTCAAATCTGTTACATGAATATTGTTTTTATAAAGATAATGAAAAAATTATTGTGTCTTTTTTATTAAACATTCTTTGAAAAAGCGACTGGCGTATAAAGAGCTCATGACGCAGCTCTTTATTTTAGATGCCAAAATCTGTAAATTCAGAAATCATTTAGTTGACTGTACAGTATGGGATTTTTAGACATTTTATCATCTTATAAGTTATATGCAATTCTGAAGTCCAACTGTTGAACTGTGTTTCCAGTGAGGGCGTACAGTCCCTACATTTCTTTTGACTCTCACCCCTCAGCAGTATATACCATATATATTATATTTATGAAATTATCCCCCCATCCCTTATAAAATTCTTGGATCCGCCCTTGAATTCTGTTGAATGCCAATGGTGAGTTACAAGCTATAAAAATAAGATGTGGTATGATTGCCAATGAGACATCTCACCACCAGAGACAAAATGACATAGAAGTAAACAACTATAGGTCACTGTATGGCCTTTAACAATGAGCAAAATCCATGCCGCATAGTCAGCTATAGCCCAGGTCCCTAATGAGATACTAATCATGTTTATAAACATTGATAAAAATCTTCTTCTCTTCTAAAACTACATGCAAAGAAATAAACCTGAATGTTATTAAGCCATCCCTGACAATTACTCATCTGATGATTCCACTGCAAACTTGTGACATCACCTTCATGGTCTTCTGCTTACTCAGGGGTCAAGAATCTTGTATTTTAGTTTTCTTTAGACATTAGAATTTAGATTACGGTATTAATTTTTTTCATTTTACCCAGCATGCAGCATTTAGTCTGGTCTGTTGGGCATCTGGAATATTACCTAGTAAAATCTGACCCAACATGTCTGTCTAATACAAAACAGGGTATTCTGATGTTAAGATGTTATTATCCAGAGTATGCATGTATCATTTGCTACCAGAATTTATCCAATCCTCAATCACTCATCATTATTGTTGCTGTCTCGAGGTATTGTATATGTGGTTGATATAAGGGTTTGGTATTAAATCCTTAACAGCATGTCTATATAGGAGACCTAAAAGTATCAACACCAACATCAAATCCTGTGCATACCAATCCATTGTGAGACCAACACTTGAATATGCCTGGGATCCACACACAAAAGAACACAAAAATAAATAGAAATGGTAGAGATTATCTCTATCATGTCTATAGAGTCATCTATGGACTCATTGCAATTCCATCGCTTGGACTAATACTAACAGATACTAGAACAAGAAAAGCACATAACCAATCATTTTGGCAAATATCCACTTCAAAAGACATTTACAAATAGTCATTTTTTCCATAAAATATCACTATTCAAGTCATCTACAAATTAAAAAAAAAATTTGTGGAACTATAATTTGAATATTTTTAATCACATACTCTGCGCATGCAACAGTTTGTAATCTTCAATTATATGAAGCTGATACTGTATATCTGAAGAAGAAAAGACAGATTATGTTCTTGTTATATGGTGTGGACCAAAATCAGATATTTCACCTGAAGAACTCCTCTTGTATATATATATATATATATATATATATATATATATATATCAGTAGGTAACTCAATTTGTAACAGTAAAACCTAAGTTTTAGGCATGAGCAACACAACGGGTGCAACATTTGGAGCAGGATCTGCTAACCCTTCTGGAGCACCTGAGATCACCCCTGGTTTTTGGAGGGGTTCGTGTTGCTCAGTCTTTAGTTCTTCTCATTGTTCGCCTTTACACTTCAAGTGTCATAATGGCTGATTTGTGCATGTTTAGTTTTTCTTTGTTGTGTTTTGTGTACTGTTTATCTTTTCGTCATTTTCGTTTTTTACCGTCGCATTGTCAGTTTGTTTTCGACTCAAGTTTGAATATCCCTTTGGTATCTTTTGCCTCTCTTTTATATAACGGGTCAGTTAATTCCTAATGTAATTCTAAATTTACAGTTGTCCTAATTATAACACAAGACAAATTATATTCCATGTTTTTAATAACAAATTGTCATTTGTATCATACATAAAGACAAATACAAAACAAATATCACTTGTAGCACTTCTCATTAACTATCACATCAAAAGCTGACATTATATTGTTGATTCATATTATTCTCATTAATGATCAGAACCATAAAGAATGCTATTTGTAACATCAACATCAGTGACGGAGCTAAATATTATAATGTTATACAAGCCCATAGCCAGGATGTTCATGAGGGAGGCGATTTTGGACAATAATAGTCAAACCTCAATCTGATTCTCAAATGGAGATGCACCCTTTATTTTCAATTTTCAAAAGAGGAAAATAATATTTCAGAACATATTAGTTTTTACACTATAGAATCTGAATCAATATAAAATAAGATGTGGTATGATTGCTATGCACCAGAGACCAAATGACATAGATGTAAGCAACTATCTTATTATCTAAGTTCCTAGAATCTAAAATCAATTTCCTTCATCTGTCAAAAATTTTACTGAAGTATTCCGATTTAAATTTACTCAATTCAACTTCCAAAAAATCAAGGATTCCCTCCCCTTCTCCCGTCAAAACAACATTTGATTGTTTTATGGTTTTCATGTCATTTCCTATGCTGAACCCAGTCACTGATGTCGACATTACAGCATTGTTTTTTCAACATTTCTATTTTGAAGCAGCTTCTACTGTGGATTCAATAATATTCAAAGCGAAAAAGATTACTAATTTTCGTGTATATTTCGTGTGCAGGAGTAAACAATGAAATTTATCAAATGTTTAATTACTTTGATGAGAGCAAATGGTGAAACCATGAAATTATGTCCCCTCGAAATAGCATTTTTCCAACTATAACATTTATACTGTCAAAAATTAATGAATCCAGCGTATTTTTTAGTACAAAGTATTAAGCAATCATTCATACATTGTAAAATCACATTATTCTTTTCTTTGAAATAAGCTACAGTTGTATTTGAAAAACCTGTTATCAAAACTACATGTTTTATAATAAGCAAGGAAAAACCGATAACGGAAATGCAATACAAGAATCAGTGACCCTTTTAACAAAAAGTCTGAAGAGAAAAACATTGTAAATCATATACAATTCACTAGTCTAACAATCAATTATAGTTAAAAGCTGTTTTGAAAGCTGCACGGCTCTTTTCAAAAAATTCTTATGATTAAAATTAAATAGTTCATATTACTTACAAAAATTTTTCTCTTTAAAGATTTTTTCTAAAAATAGTCGTAGATTTTATGTGAAAGTAGTCACAGATTTTTTAAGATAAAGGGTTACTGACTCCAAGGTATTTTCAATTTTACTGCAAAATTGATACAATTTGTTATATAATTTGACTTCAAAATTCAAAATCAACATTAAATAATCTTTTTTGATTCCATTTGAAAAAATTTCAATTTTTTATCAAATCATGTTCTTGAAGCTTTCTATATGATATTATACATGTATGTTTAGTCTTGTATCATAAGGGACTTTGAGATTACATGTTTTTGTAACCAACATTTGCATCTCATTCTTTCAAAATTTTCTGCAATCATTTACAAAATGGTAAAACTGTCCTTTAAAGTCATAAGAAATACCAGTCTTTTACCTATAAAGGTAAGTCAGATGTGGTTTTTTGCCTCAGACTCATCAGTGGCCCTGAAATCGAACACATTAGAAGCAAAATCAAATAGGGCTGTTCTAGAATTAAAAGCATGGGGAGATGAGAAGCAATTTTTTTAAGACCCCAACCATCCATAAAATAAAAATTTTAATTTAAAATTCTACCAAAATTCTAAGGAAAATGCAACCTCTCATATTTAATTAATGTGAGTGCCTCCCATTCCCAACCCAAATTTGGAACAGCCTTTCAAATTTAGAGCAATATTTTATGTCAGCAAAAGAGTAATGTTGAATACTTTGCTGTAAAACAGTTGTAAATTTAAACAAAGTAAATCAAAAATTTAGTGTACTGTAAAATTTAGGGTTGAATTTTATCATTTTTTGTAAATCTTCAATCTTCAATAATTCATTCACCAAAATTAGTGCAATATTATTTTACAATGTAATAAATTAAAGTAATTAAATAAATATAAAAATAAGAAGATGTGGTATGATTGCCAATGAGACAAACTCTCCACAAAGTAAGTCCATATAACAAGAATGAACAGCATTCCCCTTATTATACACTTTACTGACTTTTTAATGTTAAAAAATTTCAAAACTCATTGCAGTCATTTTTTTTCTGCATGATGGTGTATGCATACAACAATTCAGTGAAACTTTTCTTCAATGGGTTACCCCTTCTTTTAATGACAGGTTACACATTAAATTCATTCTGTTAAAAAAGCAAAGAATCAACACTTATATCTAAATTTTTGTGCTTTTTTAATTAACTTTTTAAAATTTGGCTGAAGGTCAACGTGGTAAACATACACAATGAAAAAGATACACCTTAAAATATTTAGAAAGAGATAAAAATTAATTATTGCCATCACAGTACTTGAAATACATCATCAAAGTATAAACTTTAAAGCAGGCAGCAAATATGATTTTGTGTTTTCAACTTATTGAATTTAAACTGAGCAACATTCAAATTGTGTGAAAATTAACAAATATGTCATTTATTCATCACAAGTAAAATATCGGCATATCTTTGTCCATATCAAAGTAGGTCTAACAAATTTTAAGGGATTATGCTACATGAATTGAATTTAAAGTTTATTGAGTATGAAGACAAAAAAATAATACTGTGCACTGCGATTGTTTACTTTTTTGTCTAAAAACATTTACGAAATGAGCAATTTCGCATGAGAGTTCGTACTGCAAAATATTTCAACCAAAATTTTGACAAGTAAAATAAAGGGTTAACAACAAGTATGATAGAGAAATTTTTGTCATTATAAATTAAACTGAACTAATTGAAAATACAAAGTATCAATTCATATTGGTTATATTTATATGTTTGTATCAAATGCAAAAGAATTTGTAATTTTGGCTAAGTCCCCTGAACTTTCATGTCTTAAGAAAATATCAATTAAAATGTTACTAGCTTTCTATAGTAGACTAATTGTTCAGAATATATAAGAATTTTTTGCCACTGGACATTAAAGCTATGAATAAGTTATTATACTTGAAGCCTCTTCACAAATTTGTTTAATTATAATAAGTTAAGTAAAAACACATATTACTAGTTTGGTAAAATATATGCGCATATGTGTATCAGTTGCATATCTAGGATTTGGAAAAAGGGGGGACCCACCAAGGCAATGTTAAGCATGGGACATGTAAAAAGTCTGAGCATCAACCCTATATATAGCTCCAAAAGATAGGGGCTGACCCTCCTTAATCTGTCACAGCATATTAAGCTCAGTATATTAATTTTATTGTAGTTCTTGAAATGAATCAACTTTTCTATGTGTTCACAGGATAATTCAGATTGCTCAAACTAGGGCTTGGTATGTATGATACACTAAAAAAATTATTTACGTGCACTAAATTAAAAACAATGTAAAAAATTTAGACATGGTGAAATGCTTCGATTCGGTGCAATGCTGGGCCTCTGGTTATGAAATATGATTTACAAAAAATGTAATATGCAACAGTTTTTTTCAATAATTTTAATTTCCCAATTCATAACTTTGTATAAATAACAATTCATATGTAAAATCTGCAAATGTGGAAATTTTCAAACTATTAATAATAATTTCATGCAAATTTCCACATTTACAAATTTCAATGAAAATCATGGCTTTCATGGAAGATAATTTCATTCTCTTAAGGGGGTACCAAACACTTTGACTAAATAGATTTGGCTCGTTTAATTTTCATAAAATTTTGACAAAATATTTACTTTAACCTGTTGACAAAAATATAAAAATTTCAAGAGATTTAAACCACACAATTTAAAGAAGAAATTTCATATGACCTATAGCAGTTTAACAAACACTAGTTTTGATCTTTGAGAAGCTTGATTTCTCTTTTCTAATAGTATGTGATTAAAACTTTCAAGCAGATTTTTAAAGAGTTAACTCCCTTACGTGATCTGTACCCCCTTAATTTTGCATCACAATACAGTTTTTACAACATGCCGAATCCTTTAGAGTAACTTATAGCTTTGATTAGACGTTCTTGTAATTTCTCTTTTGTTGTATAGTCAGGTAATAACAGTACATTGAAGCAAGTATGTGCAGTCGGTAACCTGAAAAAAAATAAATTAAAAAAGTTCATTTATTATCTACAGAATGTCCTTCTCAGAGAACACACAGAATTGTTTTATTTATCATAGCAATAAACCCCTGACACACATATAGGTCCTGCTTTTATGTCATTTTGATATTATTTAATATGCAAATATAGAAATTAAAATGGCAATATTTTAACATGTAATCTATGCAATGCATAACAAACGCAATATTTTAACATGTAATCTATGCAATGCATAACATTCAAAGTCGATGAACCATGACTGAAGTTGCAGGACCAAATAACCTCTGTGGAAATGAGAAATGGCAATGCTAATACAACAGCATACAAAATATCAATTGACCAACAATTAGTCGTTCCCCTAAAACTGACTTAGCAAACTTTTACATAGTTGATGCCGCTTATTCTGCTTCGGCAAGGCAAACAAAATCTCAAATCATTCACTAAACAGGTGCCAGTAATGAAGCAGGAACTGATAACCCTTTAATGTCACCTAAGTTTATCTCCAGTTAAACAGGTGCTATTATTGGAACAGAAAGTGATTAATATTCCAGCTAACCAAAGTTAATCTCCAGTTTTTTATGTTGATCAATCTTTAGTATTTTGTGTAGGTTTTCATTAACCGTTTCTTTTTATCTCCATTTCTAACGGCTGTCGGTTGTATGTCCTTCAATTTACAACGTTTAATTGCCCTTAATATTTTTTTTTATGAATAAAAGAAGATGTGTATTCTATTCTATGTCACAGAAACCCAACAATACAAAAAAATAAAATATAATTTTTGATATAATTACTTAAAACAACAGCAAGATATTTGTGTAACTATAAATATATATATATATCAATAGTACCTTTCAGAATCAGGTCCATTCCTTGCTATAATAAGTTTGAGTTTTGACAATCCACCAACTGGTACCTTATCTGTTCCTGTAGTAAACTGTAACAGTTTACGTTTTTGATCATCTGAAAACTCGTGGACAACCTCCCAAAAATGCCTGAAACAGTAAAGATGCTCTATTATATATTTCACTTCATCAATAAAGTCTTATTATAGAAGCTGTTATCATTTTATCATAAGTTGTCAAGCATAAAAAAGACAACAGTAGGAAAATATTATTCAAAGTCATTCAAGTGAAGTGAAATGAAGGTCAAACTGATGAAACTGTTTCAGAACCATTTTGTTGCTCAATCTTTAGTTTTCTACTTCGTGTTTTGTAGACTGTTTGTGTTTTGATCTTTTTTCGTTTATTAGCCATGGCATCGTCAGTTTGTCTTTGACTTATGAGTTTGGATATCCCTTTGGTATCTTTTAGTACTATACATAAGAAACATTACATTGAAATATTATTATGGGTTTCTGAGAAATAAACCGGAACACAAAAACTACCAGTCACCTAAGTATTAAATCTAAGTCAAGTTGAAATGAATATTTGATCTATGTGTTACAATAAAACAATTATCATAATGTGGATTCATTTATCTTCCTGGATACCAATTTCGTGGATGGATAAAAAATTGTATTTTTGTGGATATATGATTTTGTGGTGTTGCCAAAGTTTATATAGTAGTTAACTCATACTTCATTGAATATTTAAATCAATGGTTAACTTATATATGTACCTAAAAAATCCAAGAAAATTAGTATACTAAGAATAATAATAAATTCACAGTAGTGATGAAACAACATGATATACCATTAATATTTTCTGAAAAGTGGACTTAAACATAGTGTGCAATCCATTGATTTATTGATTGATTTGTGTTTAACACCACTTTCAGCACAGTACTACTTTTGTTTTATTTTGTGGTGTTCCGTTTTTATTGGTGGAGGAAAAGTCCAATCCAGGTGTGCCTAAAAACTTACTTTATTGTTCTATGATCAGCTGTGAAGCCAGCATCATATTCTGTTGCCTGTTCTAGTGCACTGAAATCAAATTCCTGAAACAGAAGACTTCCGAGTTATAGAATTTACTTCTTTTACTGCCTTGTATTATAATGTTTTGTTGACTTAATGGTTAAAAATACATACAATTTTACTATGCATAGATCTCAAAGTTAGGGTCTTTTTTAATGTCCATGAATCTCATTGATCACAAAAATACAGCTTTGACATGTTTTGACTTTTTTTTTTAATATTTCCATTTGGAGCTATTATGACTTCCAAGACAATGGCAAGATGAAGAACAGCACTAAAAGCAGTGCTAAGAAATATAAATATTTTCAAGCCTTTCTATCTAGCAAAATGTTTGATAAATTTTATATGCAAGCTAAGTAAGCTAAGTAAGCTACCTGTACTTTTTCATTTATTTCATTTTTAAGCCAAAATATTTCCTAAAACGGAATTTATTTTAATATGTGGCATTAGAATGGAGATACGTACCTTAATTGTATTTTAAGCTTGACCTTTGTAAAACTTGATTTTTCGTTGACTCTACATTTCCAGCATTTTTAAACCAAAATATTTACTAAAATGTAATTTATTTTAATATGTGGCATTAGAATGGAGATTACTTAATGGTATTTTAAGCTTGGCCTTCGTAAAACTTGATTTTACTGTCCCTAATATCCGTTTACCTAGCTCAGCAATGCGTCACTAGGTAAACTCAATTTGCGACAGTAAAATCTACGTTTTACGAAGGCCAAGCTTTTTATGCAATACAGCTATCTCCTAAATTGAGTAATGTAAAACACTCAAAATTTGTTCCAATGAAACACTATACAAAAATAAATAAATACTGAATAAAATGCTTCGCTGGGCGCAGCTTGATACGACCGCAGAGGTCGAACCCTGAACAGTTGGGGCAAGTATGGACACAACATTCAAGCTTGATACAGCTCTGAATTTGGATTGTGATTAAATATTTGACACAGCATAGGTTTCTGACACAGAAAGAATGTGGTCTAAGAACTTCAATTTTTTTAATTTACCTATTATGGTCCAATGTCCAAAATCAAAATACATGGTTAGATTCAGCATATCAAAGAACCCCATATATTCAATTTTTGTTGAAATCAAACAAAGTTTAATTTTGGACCCCAACTTGGACAAACTTGAAAACTGGTCCCATAATCAAAAATCTAAACACATGTTTAGATTCAGCACATCAAAGTACCCCAAGAATTCAATTTTTGTTAAAATCAAACTAAGTTTAATTTTGGACCCTTTGGACCTTAAAGTAGACTAATTTAAAAAAGGGGACCCAAAATTAAAAATCTAAAAACACGGTTAGATTTGGCATATCAAAGAACCCCAATAATTCAATTTTTGATGAAATCAAACAAAGTTTAATTTTGGACCCTTTTGACCTCAATATGAACCAATTTGATAGCCGGCCCACAAATAAAAAATCTAAATACATGGTAAGATTCAGCATATCAAAGAACCCCATATATTCAATTTTTGTTGAAATCAAACAAAGTTTAATTTTGGACCCCAATTTGGACCAACTTGAAAACTGGGCCAAAAATCAAAAATCTAAATACATGTTTAGATTCAGCATATCAAAGAACCCCATATATTCAATTTTTGTTGAAATCAAACAAAGTTTAATTTTGGACCCCAACTTGGACCAACTTGAAAACTGGGCCCATAATCAAAAATCTAAACACATGTTTAGATTCAGCATATCAAAGAACCCCAAGAATCCAATTTTTGTTAAAATCAAACTAAGTTTAATTTTGGACCCTTTGGACCTTTATGTAGACCAATTTAAAAAACGGGACCCAAATTAAAAATCTAAATACACGGTTAGATTTGGCATATCAAAGAACCCCAATAATTCAATTTTTGATGAAATCAAACAAAGTTTAATTTTCGACCCTTTTGACCTCAATATGAACCAATTTGATAGCGCGCCCACAAATTAAAAATCTAAATACATGGTAAGATTCAGCATATCAAAGAACCCCATATATTCAATTTTTGTTGAAATCAAACAAAGTTTAATTTTGGACCCCAATTTGGACTTACTTGAAAACTGGGCCAAAAATCTAAAATCTAAATACATGTTTAGTTTCAGCATATCAAAGAACCCCATATATTCAATTTATGTTGAAATCAAACAAAGTTTAATTTTGGACCCCAACTTGGACCAACTTGAAAACTGGGCCCATAATCAAAAATCTAAACACATGTTTAGATTCAGCATATCAAAGAACCCCAAGAATCCAATTTTTGTTAAAATCAAACTAAGTTTAATTTTGGACCCTTTGGACCTTAATGTAGACCAATTTGAAAACTGGACCCAAAATTAAAAATCTGAATACACGGTTAGATTCGTCATAACAAATAAATAAATGTGGTCAAAGATTTTACAAATCTAATGGGCCATACTGGTCTTCCTTTATAAATATGCATTTCTTTAAACATAATTTAAAAGCAGTGTAAGGGAAGTAACCAAAACGTTGTATTTGGATTACCTCCCTGACACTGTTTTAAATTATCTTAATTGTTCATTAACCATTACTTTATACATAATTTAAAAGCAGTGTAAGGGAGATAATTTCAATGATGTATTTGATTTATCTCCCTTACACTGCTTTAAATTATGTTTTGTACTAAAGTATTTGTCCATTAATGAGGACAACCTTGTTTTTCCCCCTTTTTTGCCCTTAATTCTTAAACGGTTTGAGCAATAACCCCCCAAAGCAAATCCTAACCATCCCTTTGTGGTATGGAAACTTGTAGTATAATTTCAGAGAGATCCATACACCGTTCCACAGTTATTGTCTGGAAACTAGAAAATGCTTATTTTTGGCCCCTTTTTGGCCCCTAATTCCTTAACTGTTGGTATCATAACCCCCAAAATCAATCCCCACCTTCCTTTTGTGGTATTGAACCGTATGGTAAAATTTCATAGAGATCCATTCACTTAAACTAAAGTTAGAGTGCGAAAACTTATGCGTCTTCGGACGACGATGCCGGACGACGACGACGACGCCGCCAACGTCATACCAATATACGACCACAAAAATTTTTTTGCGGTCGTATAAAAACTAGTATGAAGCTCTGGATGAAGAAACTAAGAGACAAAGAGTCACAAGTCCACATATATATGTTGTCAATCTTTTAGTTAATTTCCTTGATTCTACAAACGGCTGTTTGTTTGCTGAAAGCTCCGTAAATACTGTTTTTATTGAGATATTGAATCAACTCACCTTACTACCACAAACTAATAGCTCAATCTCTTCTGGTTTGAACAAAGTTTTCAGAGGGCTCTCATTGACTACCATCTGAAAGCCTCTTTTAAATGCACGAAACTGTTTCTGTATAGATTTGTTGAGAATGAAATCAGCATACAAATTTACAAACTCCTGCAAGAAAATAAAACTGAACATATCAGTACTTAACATACAGAGTGCTGAACTGTTTAATTGTACTTTAAAGTGAGAAGTATTCCCATGGGGTATATTTTCTTTAATTTTGCATTCAAGATAAAATCGTGAACATATTTTCTCGATGATTGATTGTTGGTTGGTGTTTAATGTCACTTTCAGCACTATTAGCTATACCGTGGTCAGTTTTTATTGGAGGAGGAAGCTGGAGTGCCCCATTAGAAACACGACAATCAGTGGGAAATCTGACAATCATAGTTAATAAAGATTGGAGTGGAAAGTAATTCAGTTTTGACAAGCTAGTGATACTGTATATGAAATACAATTTGCAAGGAAGTCACTAAGAATCAGAAACAAAAAAAGAGTGTAGCAATTTTTCTGTGGATAATTGTCTTCACCTCATCTATATTTCGAACATTCTGTTGTCTATCTTTCATCAACTTAATTTAGTAATAGGGGGAAGGGGGGTATTTTAGAGATGTTCTTTCCCATAATTACCAATTCTTGCTTCTATTTATACTTTTGTATGCAACTATTCAGACTTTTAGCAGCAACAATGTGACTATCCAATAAATCTAACACATACCTTCTTATTTTCTTGAGTAACATTTATTTGGTTTCCATTCTCCTTGAGGTCGTGAGTCAGAGAACTACCAAAGACATCTTTATAACCTATCTGGAATGTCTGCATGAAGACTTCATCGATATCATCTTCTGTGTAGTCCATTAACTCCTGCAAACTTTTCGCTAAGGTCTAAAATGAAAATATATTCACTTTTAGTTTGTAATTTTAAAAACTTTTGAAATTTAATACAAAATATTAACTTTATGTTTAGAATGTCATTTCCAGTATCAGAAAAAAGATTATCTTTCACTGATTGAAAAAATATAGAGTCCATGGTACTTTTTTGGTGAAATAATAACTTACTTAACAGTGTTTCCAAAAATCCATGGTTTTGATATATTTTTGATTGAAATAAGGGAGATAATTTGCTACTTTTGGTTTCATATGATAGGTAAATTGAAAATCATTGGTTCCAACAATATATGGTTTGAAGTACTTTTGCATGGAATTAGCATTTGTATCTAAAGAATAAATTGCAATTAAATAAACCTGAATATCCCCTGTCAGAAATTTTCTGGCTGATGGTTATAGACAATGACACAAGACTATAATGCAATAAACATATCATATTTAATAAGGATTATCTTTACAGCAATTTTTTCTTGTAGTAACATGTTTATTTCATAGAATATCAGAATCATGAGTATTTTGATCGAGAAATTTACAAAAATCATGAGCAACATTAGGGAATTTTGTTAAAAATGAAGAAATATATAAACTTCTTTTTGAGGCTTCATTAGAGCAAAATCTGAATATTACTCTTTCCATGGTGCCATGAGCCCTGGGTACTTCAGAAAGAATTGTCAACAAATGTTAGATTCACTGCGAATAATCACCTAAAAGAGTAATTTTAAACTGAAGCACCTTCTGTGTAATGTACCAACTTCTACGAAATTCTCAACATTCAACAATTTGAAACGTTTTATAAACAGTAATTTATTTTCATTTTTTAAGACTTACAGTATCAACTTCTTTTAAATCTTCAAAGGTTCCTTTCTTTCCCATTAATTTACGATAGACAACAGCAGGGAAATGTACGTCTACAATCGTACTGTTGTATATTGCTAATCCTAACATGATACCAATCAATGTGAACTGTCCGTCATTTTCAAAAGAGGTGGGGTTAAACCAGAACACATTCTGCTCTTCATTGTATACAAACATACCTGAAATTAAATACAAAATTATACGATAAACAGAAATATTTTTATTCTTCTACATAACCAATAAAACTCTTGAAAATTTAAATAAACAATAGAAACTCACATCTTATTGTACATGTTGTATAAAAACAATGTGTGTGAAGTACATACAAAACTTTATTGTGAATAAACTGCCATGGTGGTCTTATGTTTGCCTCAAGTGCAGGAGGTAGTGGGTTTCAGCCCCAGTAAGACTTTAAAATTAGTATTTGCTGCATCCCCACTAAGCATGCAGCATTAAGGAGTAAGAGCAAAGACTGGTCAGCTTAGAGTCAGAATAATGTGTCTGGAAAAGGACGGTGACAGGTCTCATTCAGACGGTTACCTTGTGAACTAGCATGTTAAAATTTGTCTCAGCATGTATGTCTAGTACAAAGCAGGATTAATATTCATATTAAATTAACATGTTTTAGTCTTGAATATGCATTTAATTTGCTGCTGGACATTAGAAAGCCATCTATTCACTGATTCATTTATTTATATCCTGAACTACCTTTTCAAAATTTGTATTTCAAGTATTTTTGAAAGACTGGGGTTCTAGGTCATAAAACTTGTCTCAGTACTCGGGAGTAAATTATTTGTACTTAAACATGTTAAAACACCAACTCCAGTATTTTGATTGATTGAATTCTGAGTCTGATTACATTAATTGAATTCAATTTTTTTGTGACCACAAGGCCTGATTTCAAGTTAAAACAAAAATGCTGCTGAAACTAGTGACAAGATTTATGCATGTTTACCTGAAACTTGTGTATGTTGTGCTTAAACTTTATCCGAGTATTTTTTCTTGCAGGTTTCAACTAATGTAAATTCAATAAAATGCTTCGCTGAGCGCAGCTGGATATGACCGCAGAGATCCAACCCTGAACAGTTGGGGAAAAAAATGGACACAATATTCGCACTTGATACAGGTCTGAATTTGGATTGTAATTAAATATTTGACACAGAATAACTGTATTCAAAGAACTTAGAATTGGTTATATGATTTCAATTTCTATTCAATTTTTTGCTTTTGAGCAATACACTAAGCTGTTGCGAATTGACTGAAATCTGAAATGAGATTGCCCCCCCCCCCCCCCTCTCCACCCCCATGAAATACATCATAAAAGTCTTAAAATAGAAAATGACATACATAATCACGGCTAAAATTAATATTCCTTTAATAGTAACTTCTAAAAATAAATTGAAGGCTAATCATCTCAAGACAATACAACATTTCTTTATACATAATTTAAACATTCTTAAATTTAAATCCAAACATACACAACATCGTACTTTAAATGTGTTTGGATTACCTCCCTTACACTGCTTTTAAATTGTCCATTAACCAGGAAACCCTTGTTTTTCCCCTTTTTTGCCCCTAATTCCTAAACGGTTTGAGCCATAACCCCCCAAAGCCAATCCTAACCATCCCTTTGTGGTATGGAAACTTGTGGTATAATTTCAGAGAGATCCATACACCGTTCCACAAGTTATTGTCTGGAAACTAGAAAAATGCTTATTTGGGCCCCTTTCTGGCCCCTAATTCCTAAACTGTTAGGACTATAACCCCCAAAATCAATCCCAACCTTCCTTTTGTGGTTATAAACCTTGTGTTTAAATTTCATAGATTTCTATTTACATTTACTAAAGTTATTGTCTGGAAACCAAATGTCTTTGGACGACGACGACGATGACAAGGATACCAATATACGACCGCAACTTTGCGGTCGTATAAAAATGTGTGTGTGCGCATTTATTATGGGGATTGTTGATCAATGGATATAAATAATGAGAGATTAATTATTGCAATTTCATATGTTCATGGTGATGCACATAAATAATCCCATCAAAATAATTTAAAATTTGAGTTTTTATTTTTGCGATTCCATCCCGTCGTAATTTTGCAATAATAAAAACATCACAAAAATTTATCAATTCACAGTATTGCAATATTTATCATGTGCCTATTTTTCACATTAATAAAAACATTGCATGAACTCCTTAATTTAAAGTATTAATGAATGCAATAAAATGAATTTAAATTCTAAGACATTACCAAAATCAATGTTGAAAATCTCTTCTATCACCAACTGGAAGAATTCTTTTGACACTCCACCTTCATCGAGCCCCTGCTCACCATCAAATTCTATAAATAGCTGTTTCTTAAGATCCTGAGGATTGTCCATTGCAGTCATTTCTAACTATATAATGTACAAAGGTTTACACAATATTATCATCAAACAGTTTTTATCTTATTATATTGATTGAGTATGTAGTTGATTGTCGCTTGCTAAATGTAGAGTGGTAATTATTTCATATATATTCATGCAATATTTTATCATAGAATATTCTGTAGTCTTACCAACTTAGAAAACAAACATGTGTCTATGCTTTTTTGAACACAAATGACTACTTTTCTTATATATCATGTATATGCAATACATTTTAAAAAACATCCAATGGAGGAATTTCTTGTGACTAAAAACAGATGCAGCTGCTTAATCCACATATATCATCTTCGACAGGTATAATTGCATTCTTAACTTTTCCTTTTTGTTTTTGAATTTGATTGCAATCAGGAATAACTGAATAATTGTCTGGTCTTTTGGCAAAACTAGCATGACCTAAACAGTTGATGACCTTTTTCCTGGATTTAAGCTCTGTTCACATTCTTCAGTGTTGATTTTTCTGTTCTTTTTCAAATTTTGTGTTTGTATATGATTGTTGTATTGAATGTTGCTTCTTTTGATTTGACATTTGTTTTATTATGACAGAATTTTTTTTATCTTTCTTCATTTCATTCATATTATGTATAATTGAATTTGGATAAGTGGCAACTATTTTTCGATGGTATTATCATGATTATAGGGTTTATCTATTAAAACTTTAATACCTTAGGTTAAATTTTGTAGTTTAATTTCTTAAATTCTTATCATTGGATTCAGTTTTAGAAACTAATGTTCTTTTAATGTTAATTTCTTCGTGGACAATATCCATTCACAAAATAAACAAAATTAAAACCTGACCAAAAATTTCTGTTGTTACATGTATTTATCATCTACTTACAGCAACTAAAGCATCATCTATCAAATGGTCTCTTCTGACCTGCAGACGCAGGAAAGGAATGGGAGGTAACCCATGTACAATTGTTTGTAATATTGAACTCCTCCTCTCATTAAACATCCGCACTCTATTGTCAAAATACATGAGTGTAAATTTTGATGCCGTCGTTAAAATATAATTATGATTCATAAAAGATATTTTGGTATCATCGGTATCGTCCTTGTATTTGTAGTCCGTTTCTACGTCTAAATACTCATTCAGAAGTTCATTGATAAATTCATCATACGGTACAAGAGGTTTACGGCAATCGATGGAATAAGCATTCAGCTGCTGAGCATAGGGGTCTTCCTTCTGCTGACGAAGTTCCTTTGGTTCTGAATGACCAACTGCTCCTTGAAGTTGCAGCATGTCTTGCAAATTTTCGTCATCATCATTTATTGCTTTTTCTTCAGCAATCGTTTTCTCTGAGTCTCTTTCTCCACCATAAATACTAGCATAGTAAAGAATTTTCAACACTTTAGTAGCACTAGCGATGTCCGCATCATCGTTTATGTGATAGCCTCTACCCCATCTCCCTTCGTTGTTGACAATTCTTACAGTAATCAACTGATGAAGAGATTGCACTCTCTCTCGAACCCAATCCGCCCCAAATTTGGCCCAAACTTTTGCTAACTTACATTGCCCACTTAGCGGTAGTTTACATAGTGCCTTACAAAAGTCTGGGAAAGCCCTTTCTATAAATTCTGGACTTGAAAGACATGGTAGTTCCATTACTATAACAAAAACATTTAATAATTGCGGATTCTGCTTCAAGATCAGCGGGCTGAATTTCAAATCTATATGTACACCTTTGGCTAAATAAGTCAATGCATTAGTCAGAGCGGGTATAAATGGCAAGTCTGGAATATTCATCAGTGCATCAAAAGCCCTCCTCACTGAAGCGATATCTACCGACACATCATCTTCCGATAAATTTAATTGTTCTATCGCTGTTTGATTATTTTTGTGCTTGGATTGAATGTCTATAAAATCTTCCTTTTCATCAACATCTTTGTCTTCATCAAATTTCTTACTTTTAGTGTCTTTTGAAGGTTTTGTTTGCCCTGAACCTTCTGGTTGCATTAAGAAACTTATTGATAATGATTCAGGATTATTGAATGTGGAACCAATCAGACGAATGAATTTTGACCATGATTTACTCCCTTCACATTCATCAACCAGTTCTTTAATTTTTTCCTCTGTTAAATACTGTACACTTGCCATGCTTGCGCTTTTCTCTGAAATATATTTATACAAGGGTAAAACTTAAAAATTTTAACATTTATGGCACATTACACAAAAATCGCTAATTTCAATGAGACAAGAACCAACGATGCCCCAGTGATATTGTTTGCCTCAAATTACCTCCAAAATTCGGCTTTTTCCCCTAGAGAAAATTCCCAACTACTAAAAAAAATAGCATAAAATTCCTCCCAATAAGTTGTACATTTTTCCCAAACGGTGATGGCATCGGTAGCAATGTACTTAAATTTCGTATTCATGTTATTATTTTGATATTATGAAAGAGCTTTTGAGATCCAGGTTTCTGATTAAAATCATGGCTGTGTTTGTAACACACGTGGTTTTCAATGTATGAAGTACCGTCATTTTTTCTGTTTCTTTCCCCACCCCAAAAAGTTCCTTTCCGGTTGAAAATGTCTCGCAATTCAAGTTTTAGTACAATTAATTCTTATTCAAAACTTCCCAATTTCCATAAAAATGATGCATTTTTCCCCAAAAAAAAGGGTAGAGGTAGTCTTGAAAAAAGACAACAATATCACTGTGCCCCACAGTCCAATAAAAGCAAGAGATCAGCTTACAGTTGACAGATATACATCAAGCTCTTAATCATCTCAAGTTGAGAAAGACGTAAAACATTTAACTGTGGATTCATTATTATTTGTTTGATACCAATACATGGCCATATAAGAGGCCTAGGTAGGAATGCCCTTTACCGTCAGGCGTCAAACGGTCATTTTCGGCTACCATTAGCGTCAAATTGGTTAAAATTTTGTCGTGATTCGTCAAAATATCCTTATCGTTATTCGTCAGAGGTATGAAAGAATTAACTGTTACGGTTTATTTTAGGAAAGAATTTAACGTGATTCGTCATAATCAATTGATTTTTTTATCGTCATAAAGAAAAGGTTCATTTTATCGTCATGCACCAAAAATTACCGTTAACGTCATTTGGCAAGATTGTTTACCATTATTCGTCATGAAGGTACCCCCATTACGACCCTCATATAAAATAATATAAAATTTCTGGAAAATTGCTATACATATTAAATGTGTACATGAACATTTATCTAAAAATAAAATAACTCTTACTGAATATGTATCATAAGACGAAAGAAAAATATTTACAGAGCAAAACCAAATTTACATGTTACAGATAGTGTGAACTTATTTCAATCTAATTAAAATACAGATCCTGTATGTCCATGCGATGCTTACAAGGATCTGAAAACACTCCATTCTACTTTCTGTTTTAAAGACCTTTCGGGATACTCTGGTTTTGTTGGATTAATACACACCTTAAAAAATTTGACGGCTGAAATTTCATTTGTTGATGTAATAATTACAAGGAAAATTACTTTAAAGAATCATCATGTCATAGATAAAAACTATGAAGGTTCACAGTTGTATTTACCTCCCACATGTCCCAATTTAAAGAACAAATCAATTCATTTGTTTTTATCAAAGCTTATTTTTGATGCCCCTTTACTTGTTCCGCTTCCATTTTGCAAAGCAATGCAAATTAAAGTACCAATAGCCCAATGCAACAACAAATACATGCAATAAAAAAAATATTATCCTTTTTCCATAAAAAATTCATGATTCTACACTGATAACATACCTGATAAGGAAGAACTTGATGAACTTGGCTTCATAAATGACACAACTGGCTTCACAGGAGTAGTACATGCTGATGTTGATGGTTCACAAGGTGAGGCCCCCTGTGAACTCGAACTAGCTTGTGCTGGCTCGGCTGCTCGTGCAACCTTGCTTGGCTGCACTTCACATAATTGTGCTTTATTTCTAAACAGTTCTACAGCTTTTAATGCAAGTATATTGCGTTCTTGATCTCTGAGGATAAATGTTGGGCTTGATGCACAGTGCGCATTTTCACAATTTTCTCTGCCACACCCATCTGTCAACTGATAGTAAAACTTCTCAATCTGTTGCTTTGCAGCAGCTCGCTTCCTATTTAAAAGAAAATAAGACTGCTTAAAAAGTGCTTTTAAAAAATAACTTTATTTGTGAATAATTCGACCTCATTGAATCCGTATTCATGTGAACTTCAATTTAACCCCTTGGTTAGAGATGGATACTGCATGCATTGTGCGTGTTCAATTATTCAAAGGAAAAGAATGTCAACATTGAAAGTGAAACAAAGGTAAATCATTTGATTGACAGATTCGATCCACAAAAAATCATTCTTATACAGGTAAAAACGATGATTAACATATATTTTTAATTTATAATATGAAATTAAACAGACCTAGAAAAATCCAAATGCACAATTCTGCTATCTATTTATATCTTTATTTATGTTTATATCGCTTATATGGCAATTGGAGGTCTTCGGGGGTCAACTCGACAGTTAATTGGATGGCGTCTAGACTAAAATACACACGAAACGAAGCTACATATTATCGAGCCCATGCCCGGAATATTGTTTATTTTAGACTTTTTATAATTTGGATAAATGTTTTACATTGTTATAAATCAAATATGAGAATTTGAGTCAAATCGGTGAACATGAATTTAACAGCTAGTGCCCCTTTAAATAAGTTATTAGAGAAAAATAACATACATCATGTACATGTGTTATTACATTTGTATTATGGATGTTTTCATGAGTTGTCTACTTTTTATTCCTAAACTGATCTTAATCTATAGTCATGATAGTAACATATGTTTATTATTTGTTAAAACAAATCTTTGATATTTTACTTTTTATTAGGAACTTGGGAACTCTTGAAACTGTGCGCAGAAACTTAATACATACAATGTAGACTGGATAACTCATTTTCCAATTAAATTAAATCATTTTTGATCAACCACGGTAAATCAATGAGACAAGGCTTTTAAGTGATAAACTTAGTTGTAATAACAATGCTTAGTTTTTACAGGCATATAATTTAGAATTGGACACTTGGGAATTACTTGGAAGCTTGAGCAGTACCTCATTTTATGCTCTGATTATTATTTATTACAATAAATTAAAATACATTGTGATTAAGCATGATAAATGTCTGAGCAAAGGCTTTGAAGTGATGTAGAGTAGCTGTAATAACACCCTTTAGTTATAACAGGTAAATTTTTTCTGTAATAACACAGATGCAATATGCATGATTGGCCAACTATATCTTTCTAAAGTTTCGTATGCATATACATGTAGACAATAATAATATCAATAGAACTTGTATACATTTTAACCTTGTAAACAAAACAAAGGATGAATACTGCTCCTTTGAAACATGTAACATGCATATGTTATCCCAGTTTTGGAATTTTTTAATCAACAATAACAAATGTATATTATTTTTCTCTAATAACTTATTTAAGTTAGACCCTTAACTGCTCAGTGTGTCAGTCTAGTACAATGCAGGGGCCAAATTCATATTGCATGATTGGCCAACTATATCTTTCTAAAGTTTCGTATGCATATACATGTAGACAATAATAATATCAATAGACAGTCAGGGGTACTACTTAAACAAGTGATTTCAGAATCATTCCCTCGAGTGATTTTGGCTGTGAAATATTAATAATTTTCACACAGACTTTTTAAAATCACTGAAACAAGTAATTTTAGAAGTTAAAATGTAATCACTTTAATAAGTGTTTATAACATTTTCTTGATAGTTTTCCCACAAGCTTGATTTTTTTATTGGTAAAAAGACAACAATTCCATTGAAAAAACAACTATGTATACACATGGTATATGCAGAAATTGTCTTTTGCTTGATAAGCCTGACACTTTTACAGTTTTTTTAAAATATGCAAAAACTGGAATAGTTTGTAGATCAGGTCAAAACCTTGAAGTAGATCATTCTAACTCTAAAGAAAACCAATCAGGTTACCTAATATTGTTGATCTTCGTCTGATAGTAAGAGTAGTTAATGAATTTTTGATTACAGAAAAATTCCCAAGGGTACTTTTAAAAGCTTTAGCGCACTAACTTACTGCCGAAGCGCACTGGTGAAATTAATATACAAAGAAAAAGGGATAATTGATTTATGTAGGAAAATTATAGAAAAGATTGTGAAAATATGGAAAATCAATGAAATTAGCATTTGAAGATCAAAGAAAACACTAAAATCACATAAATAGGTGATAACTGAATTTATCAAATCACTGAAATAAGTGATGATGAAATCACTTGTTTAAGTAGCACCCCTGACTGATAGAGATTGTATACATTTTAACCTTGTTAACAAAACAAAGGATGAATACTGCTCCTTTGAAACATGTAACATGCATATGTTATCCCAGTTTTTGAATTTTTTAATCAACAATAACAAATGTATATTATTTTTCTCTAATAACTTATTTAAGTTAGACCCTTAACTGCTCAGTGTGTCAGTCTAGTACAATGCAGGGGCCAAATTCATATTGCATGTTGCATTAACATGTTCCCTCTTAATATGCATTTAGGGGCCAGTTGAAGGCGACCTCCAGGTGCAGGAGTTTCTAGCTGCATTACAGAACCTTTGGTGGCCTTGGGCTGTTTTCTGCTCTTTGGTCAGGCTGTTGTCTTTTTGACACGTTCCACGTTTCCATTTTCTATTCTATATGCAGTACTTGCCACTGGCAGTCAAGGGTTACACTGATAATTGTTTATTTACTTGAAGATGCAAGTAATATAATTGTAATTTTAATACGTAAATTTTATTTTCTTTTTCTTTTCAAGGTTGGAATAATCTTCCCTTAATCTTCTCCAAAAATTTAGTTATAAATACATGAAATACAAGTAACATCTTTTTACAACCAGTTAAATTCTCAAGTTTTTGGAGGTAAAAAATTGCCTAAACAATTTTTTTCTGGTTTGCTTATCTTTTTTTTAAAACCTTATCTTAAGAACTTAACAAGGAAATCTATTGCCCACATGTTCAGTAACTGGGCAAGGCAAAAATTGCTCCCTGGACTGGCTGGAGGCTTGTAAATGAGCGGTATTTTGAAGATAACCGACACATTTTATAAGAGCAATGTAGTCAAGAGAAGTTCAAGAAAAGAAGAAAATAAGACTTACTAAAAAAAAATATATAAGTAAAGAAAAATCTGAATGTCTAAGGGATATAACACTACCTCCAAAATAATTTACCTGTACCAGTAATGAGTAAATAAAAAATACTTGTATTCAAGTATTACCCCTCACTGACTAGCATGACTATAAAAGCTCAAAACTATCTACACCCAAACTAAAATATTTTTAAACAGGGAATTCAACTGATAGCTGTGGATTGAATATTCCAATCAATTGTACGATATCTCTGGTTGAAAAAGATTAATCATTTGCAATAATAAATGCACCCATTAAATTTTCAATTACATGTAACAGTGTTAACACGACAATAAATATGATCAACTTACATTCCGTCCCCAGTTTGTGGTCTTGATTCTGACAAAGAAGCTGGGACAATACTGAAAATTAAATTATAAAATGATTTATAATGTTTATCATGTTTATACAACTTATTTCATCAACATTATGAACATGCTGGTCATCATGGTCATCTGCAACAATTATATTTCAAAATTTTTTTTTCAAAATGACAAACATATATAATTTCTGATCAATTTTGTCAATAAAATTTGTAAAAAAATTTAAAAGAAAAAACAATTGATTATAAAAATCTACAAAATTACCACACAACACAGTAGTGGTAAGTAGATACTAGGCCAACTGTCATGACTGTAATCAGTTGAGCTAGGGATGTACGTCTTAAGCTAAGTGAGTTTGAGTGCTAATTTTAAACGCAGAGGTCCTGGAGGTGACAATGTGATTTACTAATTTGACAATCTTAAATTCTTTACCGTCATGACCGTTAGGTTTTTGGAACCAAACTGAAAAACACAGTGTCTGTGGTTAGAGGTGATATCTAACCAGGGTTTGTGTTGTGAAGAGTCATAATGGTAAGTTGACTTTTGAGCTCGTGGAGGAGTGATGGGATTGCTTCCCTCAAACATGTCAAATAGCAGATAATTAGCCAACAGTTATTGGTGTAGCTAGGGAATTACTTCTTTAGTATGAAACACAGAGGTCCCAAGTTCAAGACCTGGAGGTGAAAATGCGATTTGCTAATGAAAATGTGCTCTTTGGTCACACAAATTTATTTAATCAATATTATTAACGACCACAAATTATTATTTTTTAAAGTATTCCCTTTAACCTGCACAGCAATTCCCAAATGGGTCTTGGAAAAGCCACAATAGATATCAGCTGTATGAATGACATGTGTGACAACTTTTAAGTATTTTGAAGTTATATTCTTTCAAGTTTAGATGTGGAATTTTGCATGATAATAAATTTACTTGGATTTATTTGGTTGTTGGTTTGGATTCATTGTCACTGGGTCAAACACTCATTTCATGTTATTTCAAATTTTGACGAAATTAAATATGTATTCATTAGAAAAGTAAATGGCGTGTTGCGTCGACAGGAATTCCTTAACTTTCGGTTTGATTTGCTGGTTGTCAACCTGGTCTGTCAAATTTTGACAGATTGGAGCTTCCAAGACCAACCTTGCGGCTTTTGTTCCGCTCTGATCTTCGGTTTTCTCGTTATTACTCATACGAATTTTTAATCTCCCCTTCTTAGTTCGTCCATTCAGTCACCCAATAATGAATAAATGTGTTTTGAAAGGTCAAATGTTTTTTTCAATTTCCAGAATTCGCCATTTTTGTATTCTCGTTGAGGCGAGATTAATAATTTACTGCGAATGAATGATCATGATAATTCATAAAATTATATGAAATTACATTTTTAGATAGAAATATGTCATAAATTACATTTCATTTGCTTTATATTACATTTTTTTCAAATTATGATGGACAGGTTCCCTGTTTCATCAATCTATTTTTTCGGAACCACGATTCTTTTCCGATTTGACTTTTAAATTATACAGATGCAATGCCCACGAAGACGAAAGTCTGTAAAACTTTGAATGAATTATATATACATTAACAATATGTCAGAGTAAGTGACAATGCAAATATTTCAAAACATTCATTCCAACCACAGTGTACTAGACTTACACATTTATGACATATAAAAGACGCAGTAGGCAGACTTCGCGAAACTTCATTTAATTTCTGCCAGACACTGAGACAGACAGGAATAATTTATCAGGATTGACAGATGATGTTCTCTCATTAAATAATTCAAAATTTGGTGACTATGTTGAACGCATCTATACCATCGAACTAGAGATAAAGGATACAACAGATACAGTTAAGTCTGCCTCATATCTTGACTTACATCTAGAAATTGACAATGAGGGTCAGTTGAAAACAAAACTTTACGACAAAAGAGATGATTTCAGCTTCCCATTTATGAACTTTCCATTTCTATGTAGCAACATCCCAGCAGCGCCTGTATACGGAGTATATATCTCTCAACTGATACGATATTCCCGGGCTTGTATTTCATATCATGATTTCCTTGCATTTTTGTTAGAGGGTTGCTGCTCACAAGGAAGCTATTAACCCAAGAGTTCCAAATGGTGAAGTTGAAATCATCCCTTCATAAATTTTACGGATGCCATCACGAGTTGGTTGAACATTATGGAATATCTGTTTCACAGATGATAGCGGATATGTTCCTAATGTCGTAACTACAATCCCGTTCCCTTTTCACGAATGTGACATACCAAATAAGACCATTTACCGGATTTGTACTGACATGAGCAACACGATGGGTGCCACATGTGGAGCAGGATCTGCTTACCCATCCAGAGCAACTGAGATCACCTCCAGTTTTTGGTGGGGTTTGTGTTGCTTAGTCTTTAGTTTTCTATGTTGTGTTTTGTGTACTATTGTTTGTCTGTTTGTTTTTTTCTTTTTTAGCCATGGCATTGTCAGTTTATTTTTGATTTATGAGTTTGAACATGTTGAATGTCCCTCTGGTATCTTTCGCCCCTCTTTGAGAAAGCAAACTTTATTAGCTGCATATTTATTAGTGCTTTATTTTAAATATTTTATTTGTAATAAGAATATATACCTATCAATAGCATGGCTTCCAAAATGGTCATATATTCAGGACATTTATAAATTTACCGGACATTGTCAGTCTGGCAAAAATGTCTGGGAAAAGCATGAAACGAACATCTACTTTTAGTTTTCAAGGCTTTCTTAAGAGACAGTCAATACATTTTAACATAATTTAAAAAGTTTATGCGATCTTTTTGACCCAACCTTTTGCCTTTAAACAGCCACACATTTCCAGTCATAAAAGTGACATGATAGATAAGTATTATCAAAACAAACCCTACTTTAATACCTTCTCATTTTAATCAAGGTTAATTAGTTGTCAGACAGCTGAAATTTAACTGTTCAGGCGACAGGTTAACTATTTTGTACCGGACATTGATCGGTCTATTCAAAGTTATTTTCTTACATTTCAGCGGTCTGCATCTAATTAATTTAGTCAAAAAGATTGAAATTATCAGAAATACGTTTATAAATATGATTTGATGAAAAATTTAAAAAGGTTTTAAACGAAAAAATCGTCAGAACCACGCTGGTTTGAGCTAGTACAGGTGTGCGCATGTGCACAGGTGGGAAATTTAATTATGCATCCTAAGTCTTCAAAAATGTTAAAATTATCATTGATACTGTTATCTAACATGTCTAATGTTCATTTCCAGTATTTTCTTGAAGAAATAACTTGGAAAGAGCTACTTAAACTCAATCGTTCTTTGTAAACGTACACAGATTTTACGTATCCGTCTCTGGTCCATGTTTTACCATTGTTAAGTCAACATCCAGTATTAGGAAAATGTGCTTTTTAAAAATGAAAGTAGAGTTTTTGACAACGTTATTTTGCACAAATAAAGAGTCTAAGGCAGATATAAGTACGCTGATGTTGCACACTTCGAATGATGCACTGTCAATTAAACAGTTTACATCAGAACATCAAATTTATATCAAAGTAAAGTTTAATATCGTTTTTTTTAATGTCAATCATTGGTTATATGATGCCCAACTGATTACTATAATTGCCTTTTGTTACTAAGTCTTAAGGGATTAAAATCGGGATCAGGCATAAAATGTACGGCTGGCTCAAATATTTTTTGGAAGACCTGGTCAATAGAATTTTTTTTTTTTTTTTTGGTATATCAAGGATTTGTATATATCTTACTATACAAATCCTTGGGTATACTAATATTTGTCTTCAAGGGTTTTTTTTTGTGATTGTGATGGCTGATGCCATTATAAGACGTCATAACACCATTTTTTTTTGACTGGACTTTGAGAGAATTTTGCTCTCAACTTTGCTACCCAATTTTGCCATGAAATCTTTACTGACGACTATAAATTTTTGCATAAATCCAAATTCTTACCTTTTGTGTGCTTGTTGGTGCAAAATATTTCCAGAAATATCCAAAAATAATGTTAAAATAATTTACAATTCCATCTTTTCAAACCGAAGTTGATGGACCCAAATTTTCAGAATGTTTAATTTACATTACCATGATTACCTGGAAATTTGTGATTAGCTGATGATAATGATGATTATTTAGTGTGGTGAATGCAACGGTTCCCCGAAAAAAATTCTGTTAATATTGTACATGTAAGTTTGCAATTATTAATATATAACTGTTTCAGGATTATTATAAATTGTGATTTAAGCCTTGAAGTTGTTTGAATTGAAAAATAAATCAATTTCACAGTTGTTTTTGTTTTTGATTTTTAACATACATGACGATTGACATTGTTATGTTCATTATCTTTTCTCATGTTTCTTGCACACTTTACCATGTTTTCTTACACACTTAACATGTTTTCTTGCACACTTTACCATGTTTTCTTGCACACTTTACCATGTTTTCTTACACACTTTACCATGTTTACTGTGCTAAATTCATTTTAGTTCTGTTTGAACTGTAATTGGGCAGTTTTATATTAATAATAAGTGTTTCAAGATTGCTAAAAAGTGATTTTTTTGTCAATTTTTACCCCCCCCCCCCCCCTGATACACATAATTTATATAGCTTAAATATATTTAATTAACAATAGTTCCATTGGATCTATTGTGTATTGAGATCTCCTAATGTTAGCTTTTTCTCTATTGCTAATAAATAATCAATTTGGATTTAACCTTAAAATTTTTTGAAGAAAAAATGTTAGGTTGTTTTTGTTTTCAACATGTTCAACATATGGCCTAGTCATGATAGTCTTGTTAATTTGTTTCCAACACACTTTAAATTAATGTGTTGAAATACAGACATCTGTTGTCACAATGTCACAATCACAACATAATCCCCTTCATCATGTTCATTTTGTGTATAGCTAATAAATTGGGGAATTACTATCATGACTATTCTTTAAATTTAAAAGGTTCAAAGAAAGCTTACAACTGAAAATGATGAATTATATTTAGTTCTCATGCACTGATATGGTGCGTCAATATTAACAGAGAATATTCGTGATTTCTTTTCCTTGATACTATTTTCATGGAATGAGGAAAAAGTGCATTTTCATTGATATTGGTTTTGTTGTTTTACAATACTGCATGCATATTTTGAAGAACAAGCATGACAAGTGGCAGGGCTTCCAAAAAAAATTTCCAGCAAGATTTTTATTTCTGTCCTTTTTTATAGTTCTTGTTTCATACATGTATAGGTTAACTGACAGTTTATTATTTGAAGTGTGGAACATCAGCAGACTTACGTTTGCCTTTACCCCTAAAAGCTTCATGCTTTTTACGTTTACGTTTGCCCTTACTCCTAAAAGCTTCATGCTTATTCTAGTTGAATTTTTAAGTCTTTGGTTCGACCCTGCTGGGGAACAAACCAACCTTCTACCTTCTGCTCCTGAGGCAGTAATATGAAAATATGATATAGGTACCAAACTATATTTATTGTGCATTTAATATAGAGTCAACTGAACTTGGACATATGACATTTATGATCGAAATTTATAGTAATTATCAGAACATAATTGACTTGAAGGAATGATAAAAAAAAGTAAATCATTTTGCAAAGAATTCCACTCAATCCTGCTAGGGGCCGTCTTAAACTTGCAGTGAGGTGAGAGGTTATTTTTTGCTCCATGTTCAAGGCCTCACTATGACTTTTGAGAGAAAGAACAGCAATAAAAGCTATGTTCCTTTGTTTTTGTGTGTTTATTGTTGTGCATGTTCTGATTTTGTGTTATGGATTAATACCCCATATCCTTTGTTTTTTTTATTAAAACAAGTTACATTTTACTTTATTTCAGTGTTACTAAAGTAAAATAAAAATGTCTGGAGTTCCTGTTTATCTGAAAGGACGTGGTAGAGGCAGAGGTCGAGGAAATGTAGAACAAAACAAAGCTAAATGGACAAATGGCAGTGGCTCTGAAAACAATGTCAAAGACAATGGATGGAAAAATGGTGTTACCAGCAAACAATCAAAACAAGAAATATCACGGAATAGTATCAATGGTATGATTCCCTTACAATAATTGTTTAGGATAAACATGTAATGATGTATGGTTGGTATCCCAATTTATACTCATCTGATGTGGGGACCGTGTTGCCCATTACGCATCAGTTTTCTACTTTTACAAATCAGGCAAAATCTCTCATAGGATAAAAAATAAATGTAGATCAGCTGTTATTTTTTGTTTTTTTATGTGTTACCCTTGACCGTCCTTCCGTCAATCTTTCCATCCTTCCATCTGTCCCGTTTGTCCCATCTTTGTTTCCACACTCTAACTTACATGACTTAAGTTTGCCTCATCCAAATTTTATGAAACTCATACACAATCATGGCAATGTTAAGAACTACAACACACAGACAGACTTTGAATTTGGGCAGTGAGTCATTTACAATTCTAAGAGTTACGCCCCTTTTTTACTTTGGTAAATTGCAAAGCTTGAGCGGGGGCATTCGTATCCTTAGACACATACTTCTTTTATTTTAATTTGCAAAGTGCCACAGCATCCTAATAAATTAGTTTTAATTTAGTGATATTCATTCTTTATGGAAGTACAATTTCCTCAATGTTCCTGGAAATCCTTGTCAGAAGGAATTACAGGGGCTGAAAATTCCTAAAATCTGAGACCATTGAAATGCCTTTAATGGATTTTGGGCTGCAGTGTATGAAAGCATCAAAGTATGTCAGACAGACTTGATTGTCATGAATATCAAATTACTCTTTGAATTGACCCCACATAAATTGACCACCTACAAAAGTAAGAGTTAATGTTAAAGATCATGTGGTCCATTTGGTGCTTGTCATGTTGCAATACTCATTCTTCTCATGAATATTCAATGTCATTTTCAATTATTACACATGAGCACTTTATATAAAAATAAGGAGATGCGGTATGATTGCCAATGAGACAACTATCCACCAAAGTTCAAATGAAGTGGATGTAAGCAATTATAGGCAACGTACGTCCTTCAACAGTTTTTGAAAAATATGAAACAATTCAATTTGAGAAAAACTAAGGGCCTAATTTATAACAAAACAGTTTACGAAAAACTAATATGACAGACATGAACCAACGACAACCCCTGAACTACAGGCTCCTGACTTTGGACAGGCACAGAAAGAATGTTTATAGAAGGAGTAATATATATGTACAATCACATGATAAAAATAATGCATCTACGTGACTACTATTAAATCTGCTTTTGGTTTCAACATGTTGCCTTCACTTCAATAAAAGAACTGTTTGAAACTTGTTTAGTTCTTGACAAAACGACTAGACAGCAGTTGAACAGATATTCAAAAATGTACAAACAAAAAGTAACAGAAAGACCAATTCTATCAAGTTTTTCCTCCTAAAATAAAAAAGTAGGAATTATCGGAATTTTTGAAAATTTATATTAAAAAAATATGTATCATGTATATCTGCCTTGTTTTTTTTTAGATTTTTAATTAGACAGTAAGATCTTTTTTTCAGATAAACTCAGTGTAGATGAAGCTCAGAAGAAATTTGAAGCTGTGAGTAGTCAGCATCAACAGGCCATACAGAATGTTTTGGAAGAATCTCAGTTCTCTGACGAAGAAGAAGGAGATATTGGTGACAATGTATTATCAACTGTCTTCAAGTCATATTCAGATACTATAGGCAAGTATGAAAAACTGTAGTGTAAGTATTGGCGGATCTAGGGGGGTGTTTCGGTGGGTGGAACCCCCCTTTTTTCATTTTTTTCTTTTCTAATCAATGTGAACATTTCATGGTGTTCTGGGGGTTGGAACCCCCTCTCCAAAATGGGTGGATCTGCGCCTGGTGTGAGGGATAGATTTGATCATCGGACATGTCAGTTTAAATACTAATGGAAAAAAAATACTGGTAACAAATACTGTGGATTTATTATTATGAGGGGCCTTATGGGGGGGTCTCATCACGATTCACGAGTTGATTTTTTTGTCAATCACGATTCACAGAAAATAAATTTCCATGATCACGGATCAAGAAAATATAAAAAAAAAATAAATCTGTAGAAAAACGGATCACGATAGCAAAAATGCGCCGATCACGAAGAACGAAAATAACCCATCAGGCCCCTCTATTATGAGTGGGCTGCTAATTTGTGTGGATTTCGTGGTTACAGGTAAATCAAAAATTTAAATGTTGAACAAAGTTATTTTCTTTGGGCTCGAATGCATGTAGACGTTGGTAAACACACAAAATCAAATATCACCTGACCAAATACATGTACATGATTTTTCCTCCATCCATGAAAATTGGTATCTCCGAAAAATAGATAAATCCTCTGACAGTAGGACATAATAAAAAATCTGCTTATTTTTATCAAACGCCACCGCAACAACCTGAACCATGCGAAAAATCCCACAGATTGTATTACATTGATGAACATGATGAATGTTTCCCATCAGAAATATTTCATGAAATTGAAAATGGAAACAGGGAATGTGTCAAAGAGACAACAACCCCACCAAAGAGCAGAAAACAGCCAAGGCCACCAACAGGACTTCAACACAGTGAGATAATCCTGCACCCAGAGGCGGGCTTCAGCTGGCCCCTAAACAAAATGTGAACTAGTTCAGCAAAAATTGACGTCACACTAAACTCCGAAATATATCAATGATCATTAACGTCTTATATACTTTTAAATCTTCATTATCAACAGTTCAGAGACACAAAAAAAAAAGATTGCGTTTCTGATCCCAATTTGTTATTTAATTGAACAAGATATATTTTTTATGTAATATTGATAATTAAATATTAAATGTATAAAACAAATAGTTAAAGCACTTTGAGCTTGTCCAGCAAAAAAAGAGCTTTCTTTGTTATGGTATTGTTCTTCAAATAGATGTACTTTGGACTTCTATAATACTGATACTATATTGAATTTTAAAAGTAGATTATATAAAAGTACTTTATTTATTAGACCATGGCGAGGATGAAGAGAAGGCCAGAGAAGATATGATGTACTCCTTTAGATCAGGAACAGCTGCTTGTCTTGTGTGTATAGAGAATATCAAGAGAGAAGAGGCAGTAAGTTCAGTGATCAATGTATGAACAGTCTATTAATAGATTGTCAGGTTTTTCTTAATATTATATAGAAAACGGCTTTTCCTTTTAAAGGAACATTTTGAATTCTGTCAGCAGTTTAAAGTTGATAACTTTATTACAACAGAAAATGCATAAGTAGTAACCATATATTTTAATTTCTTGCAAATTAAAACCTACTTTTGTACATAAGCAGGGGAACAACTCTGGTAAAATTAATAATTTTAGAAAGTCGGTAATATGAAAGTGATAAAAAGGAAAGAAAATGGGGTATCCATCTATGACACAAAATCCGAAAATACACAGGAAAGACCCCCAAAAAACATAGGAACAGCACTGTGTAATTGCAAAATCACAGTGCGGCCTTCAACATGGAGCAAAAACTCTCACTTCACTGGTCTTTTTGTATCTTGCATTTTCCATACATTAAAGACAAAGTGTTTTTGTTCATTATAATTATTTCATCATTTTAAATTCTCTTTCTTTTAACTATAGATATGGAGTTGTAAAGTGTGCTATGCTATGTTTCATATACCCTGTATACAGAAATGGGTAAAAGAAGGAGTTTACCAGCAAGTGTACAAATCAGATGAGAATATAGATGCAAAATCTGTACCGTGGCATTGGTAAGTAATTTGTTGCCTGGCCCACGATAGGAGAGGGGCATTATGCTTTCTGGCCAGTTCATCTGTCCTTTTTTTCAGTTGGCTCGATTGTCCATTCCTTTTCAGGTTAACGTTTTTGGTTAAGGTAGTTTTCCATGAAGTTGTGTCACATCAACTTAGAAATGTGTGCATATGTTTATTATGCTACAAACGTTTTATAATTATCAATGATGAATGCCAAATAATGATTTTGACCTTGATTTCAATTTTCAATATGGAAGTGTTATATTGTGAATCCAGTGCATTATCAGGTTTAAGTTTTTTGTCAAGGTAGTTTACTTTGAAGTTGTGGTAACATCAACTTGAAACTTATCACATCTGTTCATTATGTTGTGAACTTATTTAAATGTGTGCCAAATTACATTTTGACCCTGATTTTATGGTACACTGAACACAGGAATGTGTTAGTGTGAGCAAGGCAATGCGTAATATGAACACATATTCTTGTTTTATTTTGACAAAATTTTACATGGTCTTATAGGATAAATTTAGTGATAGTAGTGTTTAGCGTTGATCATTTTTAGCTCACTTAACCTCAAGGGTCAGTCATAACTTTTTCTGATCATTAAATATTGGTTGTCCTTCCACTGCTTATAAGCTGGAATTAAAGTTGGTCAATATCTTCTCTTGAGGGTCCAGCATGGATGATTGGACCCAGGAAGTGTTAAGTGGTTTCCAGTTGGTTTCTATGAATTTAAAGGCCAGCCTGTATTTTTTAGACCACAAAAAATAAAATGTAACCACTTTTGCTGTAAATAAAAAAGGGAAGGGGAATAAAACACAAATTTTTATCATAGCATTATCATTAGCTATGCAGCTAAAGAGAACCACATTTCAGTAGGCACCAAAATCTTTTCCTACTACTAGACCGGAGACCAATACTCCAACATTTTTTTAATGTGTCTTAACAAAGTTTTGGCAGTACTTACTAGTCTGGGGCATCTGAATAGTGGGTAATGGTGTACACTGACGTTTGGCAGAATTAGGAAAAATAAGCCATACTGTTCAACTCCCATGACATAAATCTGTCAACTCCGATCAACATACAATTGTGTTTCCTTTTTATACGACCGCAAAAAAAATTTTGTTCACTTATGTCGATACATAAAAAAGCAGTTATATTGATAGTTGTTACTGCAGTGGTATTAATATAAAATGAAGACAATGTTAATTACATATATATATTTCTGACAGACTTTTCCTGATGAAAAATTTAATAAAAGTTTGTTTTCTTTGTAATACAAGACATGGCTGGGGATTTAGACAGGTATGAAACGGTTGTGGGTGTGCCCCCTTGAATTGAATAATTTTTGGCCATTAAACACATAAATAAATTATAAAGGTTACAACTTTTCTAACCTCAAATCCTACATCCATGGTTGGGAAAGCATGTTTATGTTTTTGTGTAGAGTTATTTCCCTTTAGAATAGTGAATTCTGAATTTCCTAATTGTTTTTATATGTCTATCTCAAATAAAAATTAAATAAATTTAGAATTAGGTAATTGTTTAAAAATATTTTGTAGTTTTAAACTATCAAATGAAATCACACATCTTTAAAATTTTGCCTTTTTTATGTCAGTTGAATACCTATTATTTAAAGAATTGCAAATTTTGTGAGATACATAAAAATCTGATACCTAAATAATATTGCACAGGCTTACAAGTCATCCTGTCTCATCCTCATCCTAGTGTTACTATGGATGGAGTTTTACTCTTGTTAGTGTTCTTCGTGTTCCACTTTGCAAGATGGCTTAACAGTCTGTGTTTTTGATTAATTTGTATAGTCTATTTTTTTGACAATTTTACTAAACGAATGAATCCAAACAGTGAATATGTTATAAATGGTCAATTATCTTAGCAAAAACTTAGAAAAGCAATTGAAAGTCTGTGTATGGTAAATTATTGTGTATTGAGAAAATCACATTGTCCTTTGGAATAAATGATGTGACAGAAGTGCATAGCAGTGATCATGTTTAGCTCACATAACATTGAGGGATTACATTTTTATGATCATTAAATATCTGTTGTCCATCTGGAATTAGAGTTTGTCCACATTTTCCCAGAGAGTCCAACCTAAATGATTGGAACCACCAAGTTTTCTATGGTCTCCTTTTAGGCTCCTATGAATTTTTGGAGGAGACTTGGAAAAATTTTGAACAACAGGTCATGTTTTTTGTGAGGTTTAGGGCAGCAAAACACAGGTCAAGTATGAAATTGGGTGGTGTCCATGGCTTCCAAAACGGTCATATATTCCGGACTTGACCGAAATTTATATAAAAAGTCCGGCTGCTCTCAGCCTCAAACGGTCAAATATCATAGGTTTGCCACTTTTGTTATTCAAGGCATTTTCATAAAACGGTCATTTCACTTTTTTTACCAACTATCGATCGGTAAAAATGTCCGTTTGGGCATTATAGTTTATAATTGTGGCAATCTATTTCACAAAGATATTTCGGTCATATTTGGGTTTAATTAAACAGATGCAGCATATTTCATACTTTGAAGTGTCTCAGTTAGTCTAATCATCTGGGTACACAAATGCACGGCTTGGTACATCAATAAAAAGTAGAAAAAAACATTTGTTCTTTTATTTAAAAAACAACAAGCTGTCAAACAATTATCCCTTCAATAAGTAATATTGAAGCCATAAATCATTCACTGATTACAGGTCATTACCTTTGATGAGAGACCTCAGCTTGTCTTAATCAATAGAATTGATGATGCATAACAATGAACATAAACAGGTGATAAAGGTGATCAGATAAACGAGGTCAAACATGAAAGCGTGTATGGAACAACATCCTATTTAATTACGCTTTGTAGATATTATTGTAAATGAGCATTCAGTTTTAAAAAAGTATCCTTAGATTTTAAAATAATTCTTCAAATAAGAGTATTTATAAATGAATTCGAATTTGTATGATATTCATTATTATATTTAAAAACACTGTACATCGTGTTAAATACCGGGGTACGCTAAAGGGTATTCAAAGTTATTTTCTTACATTCAGCGGATTGCATCTAATTAATTTAGTCTAAAAGATTGAAATTATAAGAAATACGTTAATAAATATGATTTGATGACAAATTTGAAAAGGTTTTAAACTAATAATCGTCAGAACCACGTTGTTTGAACTAGTACATGTGTGCGCATGTGTCTATTGTCCGCTGGTTGGAAATTTAATTATGCATCCTAAGTCTTCAATAATGCTAAAATTATCATTGATACCTTTATCTAACGTTCATTTCTAGTATTTTCTTGAAGAAATAACTTGAAAAGGCTACTTAACTCAATCATAAACTTACACGGATATTACGTATCCGTCTCTGATCTGTGATTTACCATTATCAAGTCAACATCAGGCATTAGGAAAATGCGATTTTAAAAACGAAAGTAAAGCTTTTGACAGCGTTATTTTGCACAAATAAAGTCTAAAGCGGAATTAAGCAGAATTATTACGCTGATGTTGCACACTTCGAATGCTGCACTTTCAATATAATACTTTACGTCAGAACATCGAATTTATATCAAAGTAAAGTTTAATATCGTTTTAATGTCAATCATTGGTTATATCATATATGATGGCCAACTGATTATCATAGTTGCCTTATTTACTAAGTCTAAAGGGATAAATAAATCGGGATAAGATATGAAATGTCCGGCTGGCTCAAAAAAATTTTGGAAGCCCTGGTGGTGTCACTTTTACTGTTCTTGCGTTAAGCCCCTTTATAAGTGGAAAAATTGCTAAATCTGTCGTTTCCGTTCTCTAACTTTAAAGTTTGCCTCAACGAAATGTTATGAAACTTAAACACAATGCTTACAATCACAAAACGGTCTTTAACTACATGAATCCAGCATCTGTATGTGGAAGTTACTCATACATATTTACATGGGGGGAGGGGTGGGGGTGGGGGGGGGGGGGTGGGGGGGGCATCTGTGGCCCATAGACACATTCTCCATTTATTTTCTTTTTAAAATGTCAGCCATGTGAAATTGAATTATATATATGTAAATAACTTGTTATAAAACCTTTTGAGAGCTGAGAAAAATAGATTGGAATGCACATGACAAAAAAAATAAGACATGCGACTTTAGAATATATTCATCTTCGCTAGCCAAGGGTGAAGATCCAACCCCCTAACCTTCACCCTTGCCAGATTAAGTAAGTATTTTGGTTCAACGAGTTGATGATTTCCATTGGACACAGTTGTAACAGATGGCTGCATCAAATACAAAAGTGCTTTTAAGATGATCACATGTAAATGTTGAAAATATAAATAAACAATTGCCACGAGTATTAATCAACTATAATTGTCTTGAGTATGTTCCACATGCAAATGTTGGAATGTCAACATATATTTGCAGTTCCTGCTTACAAAATTTGTATACACTGGACACAACAATTTTTTTACAAACTAAAGAAAGTTCAAGAACTGCCATTGGTCAACAATATCATAATCAGAGTGGGCATGACTTCTGTGATTACTAGATGGTGTAGCACAATGCTGTTTACACATATATCTTATTATGCCTAGGGTGAATAGTAGGGGGCCGGATCGTAACCCTTGCTAGAGAGTATTGAATATATTGAAATCTGCTCTATAAATAAAATTGTTTATTGGCCATGTGAGGTCTATTAATCTTTTTCATTTTTTGCTAGAAACTGTGAATAGAAAAAATTATCAGTAATTCATGATCTACAAAATGACTTACACAATAAATGGATGTCATTAAAGGAGTGATCAATGAAAATTTAAGATTAATTTTAGCATTTTTGCCTATTATTTTGAAAAGTATGATAGATAAACAGTAAACCATAAACATTAAAATGATCAAGGGGCCTCAGTGGCCGAGTGGTCTTAGTATTGGAACTACTGTATCACTAGCCAGTCAACACTGAGGTTGTGACTCGTGAGTTCGAAACCAGCACGTATTAGGTGCACTCCGCTTCAATCTTAA